GTTTGTCGGGAAAAAAGGACCTTTTGGAAAACTACAGCATCAAACCATTAATTGTTACACTATTTGGTGGAGCAATCTCTGAATCCACAAACCAATTAACCACCTGAGGGCCCAGTGGAAGGGAATAATCATCAGTAACAGGAAAAATACCCACCAGCCAGCAGTTGCAGTTGAAGCTGGTCCGTGGAGCAGCAGCATATTATTGGGTGTATTGACTCTGGACTGAGAGCCATAAATGAGGGGAAATTACTGAAGAAATTACTGCCCAAGGCAGGACGAGGGGAATGGACCCAACCAGGTCACAGATATTTGCTTAATCTGGCTTTTGGGTTTGTTTTTTTGAGAATTTCTGCCCTTTATGACGTGTATTTCCTAATGTCCAACCTCTGCCATGGTTTCCTCCTCTCCTGTCCTCTCTCACCTGAGCTGTCCCTGTATTTTTGCGTCATTCTTGAGGGGTGGTGACTTCAACTGAACAATATTCCAGCCAAAGCCTTTCCAGGGCCAAGGAGATGGGAAGAAATAGTTCCTGTCTCACAGTGGACTCTCATCCTAATACAGCCCTGACCGAGCTTTTTGGGACAAGATGGCACTTGGAGTTCTGTTTTGCTGCCCAGCAGCTGAACATCCCACTTCTGCAGCCTTTCCCTGTGTGTCTGCAATTCCTTCTTCCTGCTGGATCATGGAGAACTGCAAAACAGCTGGAGAGGGACTTTGGAAAAGGAGTGACAGGACAAGGGGGAATGACTTCCTACTGCCAGAGGGCAGGGTTAGGTTGGATATTAGGAAGGAATTCTTGGCTATGAGGGTGGTGAGGTCCTGGCACAGGTTGCCCAGAGAAGCTGTGGCTGCCCCATCCCTGGAAGTGTCCAAGGCCAGGTTGGACAGGGCTTGGAGCAACCTGGGCTAGTGGAAGGTGTCCCTGCCCATGGCAGGGGGTGGAACAAGCTGGACTTTAAGGTGCTTTCCAACCCAAAGCAGTCTAGGATTCTATGGAAGCTCTAAACACAGAATAAGAGGACAATCCCTATCTGAAAGGATCAAACTACAGGAGAAGAGGCAGCAGAAAGCTGTGGATGCACTTGGGAGTCATCCCCATCCTCACTGATCCCCTGGGGCTCAGCACACACAGACCTTGTGTGTCCAGGACGTTAATTTGGTTGTTTGGTACATTCTTATGCCCTTTAGCAATGGTCATTCTTCCTCCCACATATCCTGGAGTGACTTCCTTCCCTAATCATATTCCTTCTATTCCACTCACATCATAGGAAATCTTAATTTCCTTCTTTTAATTGAGTTGATAAAGTCTTTTGTCTAACAAATCTTTTCCAATACCTTAGAAATAGGTTTTGTTGTGTTACATGGCAGCAGAGAACATTGTGTTTGCTTCCAGTCTCTGAACTTCTCTCTTTTCCAAGGTTTAACTTCTGTGGCTCTTCCTGACACAGATAATGTATTCTTTTGTTAATTGAAGGTGAATTTCAAGAAAAGCACTTCTTTTTATTCACATGCAACTGGAAACTAATCTTCATTATTAATTACAGCAAGATAAGGGAAGGCACTGAGGGTGATGCTCCATCTGAGTGTAGGGGAGAGTTTTGATCACTTGTGTGTTGGCCCACTGATGTCCAAGTCCACCTTTTATCCTCAAGTGTGTTCCAGCAGACAACTTTATTCTTCAGTACAGAACTTTGCATTGTTTAATTCTGCCTATTTTGAAGAGCCACATTTCCCTCTGTTTTTTCAGATTTTCTGACTTTGACAGTGAAGTTGCTGAAAATTGGCAGTACCTGCTTTGGAGGAGGATTAAAGTAACATCTGGGATGAGAAATAAAATATTTCTGCTTCCTCTTTCAAATTTTGTTTGGGCATAAGCCTGAACTGTTTCTCTTCATGGAAAGGGCTGTTCAGGCCTGGCACAGCTGCCCAGGGCACTGGTGGAATCCCCATCCCTGGAGGGATTTAAAATCCGCGGGTTAGTGGTGGCCTTGGCAGTGCTGGCGAACAGTTGAACTACGTCTTGGGTCTTTTCCAGCCTAAATGATCCCATAATTCTGTGCTCTTACTTTTTCCCTCTAGCCCTGTGTCCATTGTTATTTCTTCTCGTTCTTCTTCCCCAAGTCGCAGCTCGTTCTTGGGATGCTGCTTGAATCCTCCAAGTGTCCAACCTTCTCAGCTGACACCTCTCCTCACTGTTGTGCGGGTCTGTAGGAGAGGACAAGGTGGGCAGGGGGCACAGAGTGGTATCAGTGACCTCAGCCTGGTAGAAAACTGCATTTATCTAAATGCAGCTTTCCCTGTTGGCCCTATAACAGTAAAGCTTCACCCCAAGGTGAAGGGGGAGTGCTGTAATGGAACCTCTCTGCTCTTGTTGTCCCAACATGCTCTGCAACTTGCTGCTTCTCATTGCCAGGATTTTATCACAGACTCTTTCTTTTCCTGTGGCAGTCACAGAACAGTCTGAGTTGGAAGGGGCAGTTCTTTCAGTACTGGTTGAAATGGGCATAAAATCCTCCTTGACTGACATTTGATTTGCAAATGAAGATATACTGCAATAATAGTAATAGTAGTAATAATAATAATAATATTGTTCTGCTGACTTTCACTGGGACTTCTTCACTGACCTATGTTACAAAGTGTTTTATCCAGGAACAGAAAGACTCAGTGTATAATCAAATCAAATCAAAATCAAATTGGAGGTTGAATAAATAATTCAAAAATCAACACTTAAATCTCTGCATCTCGTCTTTGGATGTTCTTTTGTGGAATTTTGGAGGAGTACCTGCCTTCCTAATGCCACCTGGGGACAAGGGCAGCATGTGGGCTGGGATGGGATGGAGTTGTTTAATTCCAATTCCACTTGTGTGCTCTGGTCCTTCTCCAGTTGCAATGTACAGTAGAATCTGCATTATTTGTTCTTTATTGGTATCCACTAGAATGAATATAAGGGAAAAATGAGTTACAATTTAAAGAAAAACAATGGTATATAAAGTAATGAGATCGTGCCAAAGCTTAATTAGGTGGAGTAGATTGAATACATCACAGTGATGTCTTGAGGCAGCAGAATTAAGTTGTAGGCACAGTCCTTCCTGAGTTGGAACCAGTTTTATATCCATGAGGAAAGGAGACTTGGATGGCCCTTCCCACCACATTAAACTGCTAATTCTTCTGGAAAGATTTATGAATCTCATTGTATTATCAGACTTCAAAAGCACAAACCAAACCAGGGGATAAGTCAACGTATCAAACTGGTGGTTGTCTGATTACACAGATAACTGGGGTTTCAATCTTGGTATGTGCTACAGCTCAGTAATTGAATCATAGATCTCAAATACATATATTTTAGATCAGTGCAGAGTGTTATTGTGTTTGCTGCATTCAGCTCATTTATAAAACCTCTTAATGAAGTTGTTGCCACTGACAAACATGCTGAATAACGGGCTGAAATGCTGGTCCTGAAATACATCCTTGTGTGTGCTGGGTGCAAGGGCAAAGATGTTTCTGCCATCTTATCTTATCTATAAAGGGAAATATTATAAAATATACCTACATATATGTATGTATTTAATTTTATATATATATATTTGTTAATATTTTATAAATACTTTCATATTTTAAATTATTTTGTATTTTCTTTTCTAAATTTAAGTTTTATTTTCACTCTTCCGTTATGCTACTCTGGAGGTGATCTGACTTTATACTACAGATACATCCCAATGACATCAAAATTTTTCCTTTATTAATTTACTTAAATACATAAATAAATAACCTCTCTGAGGATCCCAGTGCCTTACTCTGTCAATTTATATAAATACATAAATATATACATAAATGATCTCTTGGCAAAATGTTGCCTATATATAAATATATACTAAATTATCTCTTGGTAACATAGTGCCCAGATATAAAGATATATAAATAATCTCTTGGCAAGATGTTGCCCGTGTGTTTTCTGGAGGCTTCATTTCTCTTGGGTTACCAGAGTTTTAGCTAATTATTAATTATTTTTAGGAGAGATCAGTAGGTATCTTAAATTCAGTAAAAGGTCTTTCCAGCTGCCTTTTATGGTCTGTTTTAAATAATTCTGGTATTGATTTGTCAGCCTGTAGGAAGATTAAGTTTGTTATTTGAATTCAACAGTGAAATCTCTTTTTAAAATTGCTGTTGGGGTGGGGGAGAAAAACTGCTTCATGTCATGAGAGGTCTTCATGTTGTTGGGACTTTGAGGAGACATAAATCTCCACCACAGCTTCCCAGAAGATAGACTCATTTGTCTGGGCATCAGCTGGCACTTGCAAAGCATTAATTCCAAGTTTTCAGGAGGACTCTAATGTTTGTTTTGAAAATGGAGATCAGGCAACCAAAGAATAATATGTTTATTTTTCAGCACCATGAATATGTAGTGACCTACTTCTCCTGTGCCATTTGGTTTTCTCTTTACAGCTTGTCAGGCCAACTCCTGTTGCAATTTAAGAAGCATTTTAGAGACTCAATAAGTACAGAGGGTACTAAATTAGCATTTTGGAAGTAGAGCAGTGAACAGTGTTTTGAAGATTGTCCTTCAGCAGCATTTCTGTTGTGCGATGAGTAAAATATTTTCTGCCTCGTGTTTAAAAATGTGTTTTGTTTCACCTGCAAGTTAAAATACAACCAGTTGCAGGTCTAGTTTAAATACAACACTGAAATGTTGTAACTTTAAAAATATATATATTTTTCCTAATAAACTGAATTTTTAATGCTCTCTTGATTATCGTGCGATATTTTAAAGACAAGTGATATCATCCCAAACTTTCCATGTGTTGCTACATATGCTAATTTACTTGATTAATTTGGAGAACCTCTGCACAGAATTCTGTGTGGTGAGATCACACTGCTTTTCCAGTAACAGCCTCAAATTTCACTTTCCAGACAGACTCAGAGTTTTGTCTAATTGGGATGCCAGATATACAAAGGCACCCCAGAAAAGTGTGTAATTATGTCATTTTCTCTTGATCTTTCAGAGTCTTCCTGAGAGCAATTAATCAATATGCAGATATGCTCAACAAAAAATTCCTTGATCAAGCCAACTTTGAGTTACAGGTAAGAAAAAACCCACCAGTGTCTTGGGGACTGATGTGAATGTCATAAATTTCTGCCCTAAATGTGTAATTTTGATGATTTTATGTGTTGTCCCGACCACTTATCCCCGTTAAGCTGTTTCAGGTATTTGTGATCCATTCTTTTGAGTCTTGTCATGCAATCCCAGAATCACAGGATGGTTTGGGCTGGAATTTTACTTGACTCATCAAAACACAATGAATTAGGATTTGCAGATGGGAGATATTTCATGGAAACACAAAGACAACGAGGAGATGTGTTAAGAATTTATCAAGAAGCACCATCTCTGTGGTGTCTGTTATTTTCTCCTTTAAATATTTATGTGCATAATGTAGAGACTTTTAAGTTGTTTTGTAGGTGTGCAGGAAAACATTTCAGAGAATTAATGATACCTGTTCTTGTCATTTTGGGGGCTTTCAGCTTTGGAACAACTACTTCCACCTGGCTGTGGCTTTTCTCACACAAGAATCTTTACAGCTGGAGAATTTTTCAAGTGCTAAAAGAGCAAAAATCCTTAACAAGTAAGTCCTGTTCGTTATCTAAATCAGGGGCAAGAACTCAAGGTATATTGATATAATTTTAGTCTAATTTCTTAGCTAAATCTATTCAAATTGAGATGCAATCATGGTGTAATGAAAGGTTGGTTTTAAAAACATGAATCAAGTATTGCATGTGTTTCTACACTCAAATCAAGATCTAAATTACATGATTCATTACTGATGAAGACAGTATTTTATGCTGCAGGATGTTCATAAAGTCAAGACTTTCCAGAAGTATTAACATATTACAAAACTGCATTTTTAAATCACTTTAGCTTCGTCCTTATTCTAATCTCATTTTACGTGGGCTCTTTATTGCTTAATCCCTGACGGCCTTTTCAAGGGAATTTTTGTAACTACAGCCAGTTTCAGTGTGATATCCCTGAAGAATGGCTTTGGATAACTGCAACCTTGTCTGCTTCCCTGGTTAAAAGGGATTACATTGCCTGGCTCCACACAGGGAGCCTGAACTACCCCATTGCTATTCAGAATCCCACAGCAAAGGAAAGCTGTCAAAGGGGAAAAAAACAACCTGGAAATCAGGCTGGAGCATGAATATTTTGTTCAATCAGAGAATGATTAAGGGTGGAAAAGATATCTAAGATCAAGTCCAGCCATTAACCAAGGCCACCACTCACCCATGTCCCCAGGTGCCACATCCACACGGATTTTAAATCCCTCCAGGGACGGGGACTCCACCACTTCCCAAGGCAGCCTGTCCCAGTGCCTGACCACCCTTTGAGTGAAGAAATTTTCCCTAATATCCAACCTAAACCTTGCCTGGTGCAACTTGAGGCTGTTTCCCTCTGTCCTATCAGTATTTCCCCCTGACTTTCTTTGGGGTTCCATAGTAGTGACCTTATCATTCCTTAGCTAAACACCAAGCAGAGAAAAGCCACTTATGTGATTTCAGACAAATGTGTGGATTCTTTTTCTGTGTCCTAATATTTGGAAAGAGCAGCTGTAAAAGCAGAGTGTTCCCATACTCAGGTCACAGGTACTGCACAAAAATGGGGAATTTCAAAGCTCTGATTCCCTGAGCAAGTGCAGCTCAGGCTCCTTGTGTGTACATTTATAGTAGATGTCTAGAGAGAGAGAGAAGATGCATTTTTATCACTGCACCTTCTAAATTCCAGCCTTTCTGTATATTATTATGATAAGAGAAATCACAGTGACAATAGGGACAGTTCATCACTGCTGCAGTGACTTGAATTTAAAGGCTTTTTGCTCTCACTGTGTGAAAGGCTTTGACCAGAAAATTCAGGGAAGGCTCCACATCCCATCCCTTTTTTCTGGCAGCTGAGTTTTGCCCTGTAAACTCAACCACTCCATCATGAGTTCTGAGGTGCTTCCTTTGGAAGCTGTGCTTTACCTGAGCCTTGAAAGAGAATTTTTAAGCTCTTTATCTTCTGGTACACCTTCTGTGACTCCTGGGCCTTCCTTGATGAAACAGGAATATTTACAAGTTCAGTGGAAAAGTGGTGTCAAGCAGAGCTCAGGTTTTTGGGCTTGTGCTGTAAGTATCATAAATAACTTTAGAGTTACACGTTTGCAGAAAGAAATTGAGATGGTGTTGTAGAGCCAGGTAAATTTATTTTAATTTAATTTAGTTTTATGTAGAATCTCCTTGCTCTCTCCACCCAACACTGGTGTGCACCTACATGAGGATTTTAGTTCAGAGCTGACCTGAACAAAGAGCCCACAGCTGAGCTGTAACTGGGCTGGAAATTCCTGTCAAATATGTTTGTGGACTGATAATCCCTCTTTGTCAGGATGGGAACCTTAAGCAGAAATCTCCTTTGAGTGATTTTTGTATTAAGCAGAGCAGTATTTCTTGTTGAAGAAATTCAAGAAATCAACAGACATTTCTCACTGCTGATAGAAGTAAATAGATTAAGTTGTTTGAAGTGGTTACTTAATGAAGTTTGCTAAATTGTAAATCTTTGTTTATAATGAATTTACAAAGTGTTATTTTCAGTGTAATCATGTTTTGGAGACAGGAATCAAGACTATAAATTCTTCGAGATGCAATAAATGTGTGGTCTGGAGGCACTGACTTTCATTGCTGTGTGAAGCCACTACCAGTTCTGTGCCAAAAGGGGTAGAATTAAGCAGTTAATTCAATATCACGCTCACCCATCTTTTTAAGTATATATTTCAATTAATATGCCAAATATTTAATAATTAAAATTTAATTATTGTAATTTGTATGTTTTGCTAAACATTGCATTTAAGCATTAGATAATAACAGATTCTTAATGATGCAGAAGATTCTCTTTAATCCACATTAATGACAGGGTGTCTCACTGTTATCCCACAGAAATCCTACAAGTTGCCAGATATTACAGTTTTGCTCATCTTGTTATTTAAGTAATGATCTTTAACTTACAAATATTCCATGTAGCAAATATGTTCTTGGAGCTCATTCTGGTTCATTACTGAAGGCAATGGGATGTTTTTCATTCGTTGAGCTTTCCTGGTATTAATGTGGAGAGGGAGTGGAATATAAAAATATCCCTGATTGGAGATGTGAGGTGTTGGTGGCACCAGCTTTGGAGCAGAGTTAGCAGGGATGCTGGTGGATGGGCTCTGCCTGGGACCATGGAATCATGGAATTGGTGAGTCCAAGGTCATCGACTCCAGTCGTTCCCCAGCACTGCCAAGGCCACCACTAACCCGCATCCCCAGGTGCCACATCCACATGGCTTTTAAATCCCCCCAGGGATAGGGACTCCATCCCTGCCCTGGGCAGCTGTGCCAGCCAGGGCTGGACAACCCTTTCCAGGAAGAAATTTTCCCTAATATCCAATGTAAATGATTACAGTTAATCTCTGTAAGCATCCCTGTGTCCCCAGGGAAGGACAGGTAACGTGGAAATGTTTCAGAGAGAGGTTTTGCACAGGTGAATGTTCTCCCCTTGAGAAATATTGCTACAGAAATGGGATTTTAGGGTCTTTTGAGGAGAGCAGGAAACCCAGTTTGAGGAACAGAAGGTGCTGATGGGTCACCAAGGCTTCCAGCCTCTGTCTCTTCCCTTTTCCAAGGGATTCTCTAAAGTTTGATGTTTGCAGGTGGCCAGGTAATCTCAGGAGTATGGGTTCAATTTGAGAACCTCTTCTGTAATTTCCCATATTTCTGAATGCTGATCAGATTTTGAAATTGGATTTATCTGCCTAAAAGTATTAGATTTATTTTATTTTAATGGTACTCTTGTTTTCCTCTTTCAGGTATGGTGATATGAGAAGGCAGATTGGGTTTGAGATCAGGGACATGTGGTATAATCTGGGTAAGTAACCTGAGCACCTGTAACATATTGCTTTCCCTCAGTGTTCCTATAAACCAAGGACTGTTCCTGGAAACATTCAAGGCCAGGTTGGATGGGGCTTGGAGCAGCCTGGTCTAGTGGAAGGTGTCCCTGCCCATAGCAGGGCATTGGAACGAGATGATATTTAATGTCCCTTCCAACCCAAACCATTCTATGAAATGAACTTGGTTTCTCTTGAAATAATGGTAGACTTCCAGAAGGCTTTTAAAAAGCAGGTGATTTAAGAAATAAATCTGCATATTTAATTCACCATTTAACGTTGTTACTATTTATGTATCTTCTGTTTTTTCATGGTATTCAACCTCTTGCTAAATACAAAAAGAAATATTATGGTGATACCTCTTGAATGGTTTTTTTTCCCCCCTTAAAAATATCCATATACATATATATGTCTACACATAAATGCACACTTGCTTGTGGATGTAGTTAGTGGGAGTGTAGCAAAATGTGTCCAAGGGTTATCAGTAACTTAGCCTGGAAATTCAACTTAAAGTCTGATTTGCAGTCTTGTTTGGCTGCATCAGAGTGACTCAGGGAAGAATGGGAGCTTGGACCTCTCTGGAGTTCGTAGGTAAATTTGGCATCTCTGCCTTTCTCCAGCCTGGGCTGCTCTGTGGGTATAATTTAGCTATATGGGATTGAATTTCCTGAGAAACTGAGTATTTACTGTGACCTGAGTGTACTCATCTGCCAGATTTCATTTTCCTGAGCTTAGCAGCACAGACACTTCAGCTCTTCTGAGTTTTATCAAAACTTCCTTAAATTATCAGAAATAAATGCATTTGCCACTTCACTTCTATCTCTGGCTGAGCTGTTGTTGCTGAGAGTTGAAAAAAACCAGCATCTCTAAGAGAAGGGAGTGCCAAGAGTTCATAAGTATTTGATATCACAGAATTTGCATCCTATCTGCTGGAATGATGAGAAAAGGCTTCTGAGAGCAGCTGAGTTCACTTTTTATTAGAAGCATCTTTCGTGAATTAAGTGTCTGGAGAAGAGATTAAAGCTTAGTGCACAACTGATATGGGACTTGACAGACAGGTAATAAAATCAGTGTCGTGCCTGATGCTGCATATCCAGCACAGGATCCTGGCAGTCTCTTTGCTAGTAATTAGCCAAACCTTTCCCTGTTCCAGGCCCACAGTCCTGTATTCATAGAATCATGGAATTATTAAGGTTGGAGAAGACCATCGAGTCCAACCAACCCCCAGCACTGCCAAGGCCACCACTACCCCTGTCCCCAAGTGCCACATCTACACGGCTTTGAAATCTCTCCTGGGATGGGGGCTCCACCACTGCCCTGGGCTGGACAACCCTTTTGGTGAAGAAATTTTCCTTGATATCCAACCTAAACCTCCCCTGGCACAACTTGAGGCCATTTCCTCTCCTCCTGTCCCTTGTTCCCTGGGAGCAGAGACCAACTTCTCCCCCTGGCTCCCCCCTCCTGTCAGGGAGTTGCAGAGAGTGAGAGGGTCCCCCCTGAGCCTCCTTTTCTCCAGGCTGAGCCCCCCCAGCTCCCTCAGCCATCCTTTATCCTGACTAATTTCTTTGGCCTCTTTAGATTCTTAAAGTTTTCTCAGACTTTACTGGACTGAAAGTAGGAATTTTGATGTGGAGTTTTCCACCGGCTGTTCTTATCTGAGGTTGTTCTATCCAGGCTGGGTGTGTGGAGTGCACTGTGCCTTTTACACTGCCTGCTCTTAGACAGGTTATTTAGTCACTCCAGGGATCACTTCTTCACCATTAACAAGGGTAATAATTTCCCCTGGAGTTTTGGGAATCGACTGGCACGAGGGGTGGTGTTTTCTCCAATATTTCTTTCTGTGCTGTCATGAAAGCCTTTTATTTTCAATGGATTTTTTATAAATGGAGATTATCCAGGTAGATGCCTCTGTGACCTCCTAGCTTTGATATCTGTGATTCTCTTAAGACCTGGGATCATTAATGCTGAAATCTCACGTCGTGAGAGAGTCAGTAAATTGCTACTCTTCCCAACAAAAGCTGGGAGAGGAAGGTAAATTGGGATGTAGGATTCCAATCCAAGGCAGCCTTTGTGCTTCTTCTTGCTTTTCCTCATCTTTCTCACAGATTGTCCATGCAGATCATGTTTAACTTCTGGCTCTTCACCAATCTCATCTATGTCACAGCATCAATTAAGAAAAAATTCCCACTTCCCTCTGCAGGGGAATCGATTGGGGGGTGCCTGACACTCTTATCTTATAAGTTGCACTGCATTAGTCAAATTAGTCATGTGTATGTTCAGAAACTAAATCAGAAGTGAAAAGCTGGAATTCTGGAATGTACTTGAGCACAGAATTTTTATGACTGTGCCGTTGTGCATAAGATATGATGAAACCAAACCAGCCTGACTTTTGATTTATGGACTAACAGGTATAGATAAGCCTCAGAAATTACTGTTGTGTCTCATCAGGTTTTGTCCCTAAATACCATGATTAACACATGGTACCTGCTGAGTTAAAACTCCCCAATTGGGAACAAGGCAGTCCTCCAGCTATAACACACATTTAAAAGTATAATTTATTTTCTGAAATTAAAGAGTAAAATACAAATTCTAAAAGTTTTTTCTTGCCTCCACTTTTCTACTGCAGTGGGGGCTGCCATGGCCACACCTTCCTCTCTTTATAAATAGAAGAAAAAAAGAGAAGAGCATTTATAGTGCAGAGCAGCACTTTATAGACTTTTTTCCTTCCATATCACAACCTGAACTTTAAAATAACATGTTATTTTGAACCACTGTTTTGTTGAAAGCAGAGCTGCTTAAACCTTGGTGAGACATTAAGTACCAGAGATGCTTAAAACAAGCCATGGCCTTTGTCTTGGAGATGTAGGAGCTCAAAACCCACACATTTAAAAGCATTACCTGATGCAATTTTAGCAACTACAACCCAACAGTTTGACACGAGGTCACGTGTCCATGTTTGCAGGGGCAATGTTTTCAACAGCTCTGTGGTAAAGAAATTGTAATGCCATTTAAAATCATATCCTTGTGGAAGAGTTGGTCAGGGAAAGGCAGCTTGGAAAACAGCACTTTGGTTGTTGATGTCTGAACCAGCTGGAGGCAGGTGGAAAAGTGAAATTCCTGAAGGTGAATTGGTTGCTGGTGGTGTCCTCCAGTGAGCTCCCACCATCCAGCCCATCCCTCCGGGTGCTTGACGTCACCAGAGGTGTCTTGACAGAGACGTTGATGTCGTTGGAGGGAAGGCCAGGCTTAAAAATAGCCCTGAACTTTGGGCGTTGCATAAATAGGAGTCACTGCAGATAACACTCTCTGGGTTAGTCATGCATGTTCTGAACAACCCAAGGCAGAGGTGAGCCTGCTGGCAACTTAGTCAGGGGGGTTTGCGGCCCTAATTTGAGTTGTAAGAACGTGGGAGATGAGAATCCCATGTTACCCAAAAAGAGAGCACTGGGTTGGTTGGTGTGGTGAGCTCTGTTCCTGCTGTGTGAGCACGGACAAGGCAGGACACGCTGCAGGGGAAGTCTTTGCACGTTCAAAGGATGCTATTTTTGCATGTAGTTCTTAAAGCAGCTGCACAATTTGGTTTTCAGAAGAGAATCCTCAATTTTCTTCCGGCCTTGTCCCATTTTGAGTCTCTGTGGAGTTCCACACTCCCACAGGGAAAAAAATGGGGAATTCATTGTTGGGTTGTTTATCAGGAAGTGCTACCAGTGCAGGCAGAGCGGTGAAGGCTCCAGAGGGCCAGGGGAGGGTCGTTGCCTTTCCTCCTTTGCTCCCATGCTTTCTGTTGTGGCACAACATCACACAGGATCGTGTCATCATAGCAAACACGTGTGTGTGTGTGTGTGTGTGTTGTCACGTCACCAACATGTGGTGTAGCATCAGGTGGATGTCACCAGGGCTCCCAGTTCATGGACTTCCCCTGGATAATAGTAAACAGGATCAAACATTTCAGTCCTTCATGGATTTTCAGTTCCTCATATCTGCAGTTTAAAAGCTGTTTGTTACTTTTCTGAGGGAATCCCTATGCTCCAAGCCACGGAAAAACCCACCGTAGCACAGGGAGAACGTCCTGACACTGAATCTGTGCACAACAAATAACTTTTGTTACCATTATTTGTGTTCTGACATATTGACTCTGACAGTCTTCAGGCATAATACAAGAAATCTGTCACCTGAGAGGCCAAATGTAATAATACTTGTAGGAGAAACCAAGGAAAGCTTTACTCCTGTCACTTGATATTCCTCACCAACAACCAGCTCTGCAGCAGCACCCAAAGTCACAGTTTTAGTTGAGTATTAATTTGCCCTGATAGAATTGCTAATGATAATAGGATTGTAAAGTTTGCCGAATCAAGTAATTTAAATTACATCTGCTAAAAAAAAAGTAGTGTGTTTTGTTAGTAAAGGATTTCTTCTTGATTACATTTGTTGAGATGTATGTTCGTTCTGGTCCAAAGTGAAACTACTAATTAAAGACTTCACTGGTTACTGTCACAGTGCTGTAGTGCAGTGGAATATAAATGGGTTACAGTCTGCTTCTGTCCTGTACCACTGGTAAATGCAGTGGGAAGCAAGAGTCTGAGGAAGCTGAGGGCTCCTTAAATTAGCTGAAATCCAAAGAAGTCTGGTGTGAAGCACAGCAGTGGACTCATGAGCAGTGTGTGAGCCTGATGGGGGACACCCATAACACGGCATTGGTGAGAAAGGGCTCCTGTTGTGTCCTGAGGTTCAAATGAATCCTGCTGCTGAGAGAGGAATTTATTTGTATTTTCTAAACTTCTGCCAAGGAGTGCTCTACCTGGAGCTCTGTGACAGTGTCATCATACAATGGGGGGGGGAAAACACCAGCACAGATTCACAGAAGCTGTGGCTGCCCCATCCCTGGAAGTGTTCGAGGCCAGGTTGGAGCAGCCTGGTCTAGTGGAAGGTGTCCATACCCATGGCATGGACAGGGATGATCTTGAAGGTCCCTTCCACTCAAACTATTGCATGATTCTATGATTTTTCCATGGGGTCATTTAACAGCTAATTTGCAGCACTGCATTCATTTAGCTCAGAATATTAACAGTAATATTTTCTCCTAGTCCAATATTTATTAGGTGCCACGTTCCTGTTAAGCTCTAATATCTCTTGCATGTGTGGAGAGTGTAGCAGGGAGGGCTGGGGGAGGAGCAGCTTTCTCTGGGGAAGATAAATGTGAAATCAAGTTTGCCAGTGAGCTCAGCCCTGAGGAAAGGAGGCATATTGTCAGCTGGGTGAGCTGGAGTTTCATGTCTCGAGGCTCTGTAAGTCTGCACTCGTGGTGACACTTTGATAGACTGACACAGAGAACATTTTGTACACTCTGGAAGACACAGAAGTCTAAATAAGTTAATACAAGTGATGTGCCTTTTAGCCTTCTTCCCTGGCAGCCATAAGTTGTGTTTTAAAATAAACCCTGGAAATTTAATAGTGTGAAAATTCTCAGTGGAAAATGTGGTAAGTCCCAGTTTGATGAGTGATTTGACAACTCTTGTTAATTTGGGTTTATACACATCACATACCTCTCCTCCTGTGCCATAAAAAACAATAGAAGTAATAATATTAATAGTAAGAGTAAAAATGAATAATAATGAAGAAGGAGAAGGAGGAGAAGAAGAAAAGGAGAAGAAGAGAAAAGAAGAAGAAAAGAAGGAAAGAAAAGAAAATAAGAAGAAAAAAAGAAGAAGAAAAGAAAAAATAAGAAGAAGAGAAAAAGAAGTGTTTCAGTAGAACCAGATATTAAAAAATACTTTGTTTTACTCCATGAGGATTTATTGCTACAGCTTTTGTATCTTCTACCAACATGAGTGGCTGTTTGTTAACTCTGAAATGCATCTTTTCTCTTAAAGGTCAGCACAAAATCAAGTTCATCCCGGAAATGGTGGGACCTATCCTGGAAATGACGCTCATACCGGAAACCGAACTGCGGAAAGCCACGATCCCAATCTTCTTTGACATGATGCAGTGTGAATTCCATTCCACCAGGTGCTTCCAGAGGGTAAGGAGAGAGAGCTCCAGACGTTTAAAGTTTGTGAGAAAGGTTTAGCTGGTCTTTGACAAAACGCAAAGATTTTTGTTCTGGAAGAAATAATGAAATTATGGATTTGCCTATTTTCCAGAACTCTTGAGGGGCTGTAGAGTTTTCAGCTGCTGGTTTTAAATCGGTATTGAAGGAGAAATTTGCATGTGGTAAATGAAACCCTTCGTTATGGTCCAAGAGCAAAGACAGGTGTCTTAAATTGTCACTGTGACTCACAAAAAGGAGTTTGGTGCTCAGTGAAATTGGACATAAGGGGAGGCTGATAATGTGGCAACAGAAGCTATACCCTCTAAGGATTTATAGGATTTATTACCCCTAGGATCTTGTAATTTTGATGTTCCTTACCATTTTATGGATTTTGAAGAGGGAAAATGCTATGCAGTCAGTGTCAGTGCTTCTTCATGCTACACAGGCACTGCAAAAACTAAAATATTGAAGTAGCATTTTTATTTTAACATGCTGAGAGAAGTCCTTGAATACTCACACACGTTCTTATCCTGATAACATTGACTTCTGAAAGACAAGTGGGGGGAAAGAAAGTTTCCTCACATCATTCATTTGACCTTCTTTCCCTTGAAACTTTGCTTATGGATTGAGTTTAAGACTAGTTAGGCCAGGTAGAGTTATGGAATAAGCCAATGGAGCTCCTTCACACTGAAATCTCTGTCAGTTCAGGATATGACCTTGTGAATTTTGCAATAAAGTTTGATATGTATTGTTTGCTTTTTTCCCCTTTATATTGGCAGTTTTCTTTGTTGGATGAAAAACTTTATCCTTTTCCATACTTTTTTTTTTTTGGTGAACCAACTCTTAATAAATCTGTAGGCAGAGTAAATGAATATCTGCGTGGGGAGACTTTAGCAAGGGAAATGGCATCAGCTTTATTGCTTTGATTTGTTTTGTGCTGGATGGTGTGTGCAAAGGTTGTGAACTGTATTTTGGCTTCATCCAATTACTGCATAATCATTCTTTCTTATGTTTGACTCCAGTGATACTGTGAAGATTGAAATGCTCGCTGGGATGCCATTTAACCAGTTTCCTGTCAGATGCTCTCTTTTGTTGCTTGTCATTTTTTATTTGTACAATTGTATAGATCATGAAAAATCCGAGGGTGACTTTATAGCTAAATTTATGGCCTTGTATTTTCCTGACAGAAGGAAACCAGCTTTGTGTGGAATAGTTGGGTGATTTTAATGAATGAATGTCTTAAATATTTCACTCAATTTTTTTTTTACCTTTTGAGAAGAAAAATGCCTCATGTTAAAGTCAGAGATGTCTTGGGTTGTAAGTACTTGACATCATATTTCCTGTGGCAGTGCAGCCTCTTTCTTTATGGAGGTAGCATTGATATGACAAGTGCAGAGGTAATAAACCTCTTTTCAGTGGGCTTGGAGTGAACATTTCCCTCTAACAAGGAGTAATCAATCTGTCTATTTATGGTTTTGCAGATAATGGAGTGATAGAGTTTGCTGAGTATCTCAGATTGGCCTTTGTGGAATGAAGATCACAGGCTTGTAAAAAGCAGAGAGTTGCAGAAAAGTCCAGGTTGGATGGGACCTCAGACAGTAACCTGGTCTGAACTGGGCCTTCTCTTGGGTTATCTGGGGCCCTCTGAAGCTCGGTATTGAATATCTCCAGTGAGGGTTGTTTGAACACTTCTTTGGGTGACCTATTCCAGGGTTTACTCCTGGTCTAATGGAAGGTTTCTCTCCCCATGGCAGGAAGTTGGAATGAAGTGGTCTTTTAGGTCACTTCCAACCCAAACCATTGCAGGATTCTATGATGAAGACTTTTCTTTTTATATATGTATGAAATTTCCCTGGATCAACTTATGCCTGTTGCTGCTTTTCTTGCCCCTGTGCACCTTGTAAGCAGAGCAACTCCATCTCCTTTCTCAGCACCTGTCAGGTGTTGGAAGGCTTGGGATTGATTTTCTCTAGGCTGAACAGACCCAATTCCTCCAAGCGTTCTTCAGGCCGGGTTCCCCAGCACTCTCCATCTTGGTGAGCCTCCATTAGACCATCTCCAATTGATCAGTCTCCTTTGAGCTGGGGGAGCCACATCTGGATGCAGCATTCCAACCATTCTTCAGATAAGTTTGTTGGTCCTCTGGCCATACCCTCGTTGGTGCAATCAAGGACACATTTTGTCCCCTTTGAAGGGGCACACTGCTTGCTCATGTTCAGCTTGCTGTCCACCACATCCTTGTCCTGCTGCTTGCAGCTCTGCCATCCCAGATTCAGGACTTCCTCTTCCTTAAATTTTACACAATTTCTTCTTGGCTCTCTCTCAAGCTTCCAGAGTCATTGAACCACCACCCTTGGAGATCAGCAGTGCAGCCCCTTCCTCCACCCCTCTCCCAGTTTCTCTGTCCAGTCCAGATCTTACCAACATGTCAACAAGTGGGAGACTTGTAACACTGTTAAGGCTGAGACAACCACAGCTCTTCATCCATGAGCAGATTTCTCACAGAGGGCAGTCAGATTTATCCTTGGTAAACACCTGCCTTTTCCCAGGCACCCTCTTGCCCATTGCATACCTGGAAAAAGCTTCCATGAGGGAATTGCTCCATGGTTTCCTCAGGAACTAAAGGGAGTCTGTAGATTCCCAGCTCATTTTTCTGTCTCTTTTATATTTAAGTGATAGAAATAGATATAAAATTTTTTTTTTAAACTATTACTGGTACCTGGACAAGCTTTCATGCTTAATGGGTCGGTGTAATGTGCTGCATTATATCCTTTATGTGCAAGTACCAATTATCCTTGTCCAAAGAGAACTTCCAAATGCAATGGTTGGCTGCTGTTAAACTAATCTGCCAGAAATCCAATTATCTAACCTTATTAGTCACATCAACGAGGGTTTAGATTGGCTCCACTTCTCCAGCAGATGTAGAAACCTCATGATTTGTGGGGGAGGAATTTCAATTTTTTGCAGACTGTGATGGTTTGTGTGATAAACAGGCAGCTTTCCCCATGGTGGTTTTAATTTCAGTAGGAACTGGGTTTGTCTGCTAAAACCAGTAACAGACAGAAGGGGTGTTTTTGTTCTTCCAGTGTCTATAGCCCTGAGAAAAGCCAGATAAACTCCTCTTGTTTCACAGAACTATGTTGAGGACTGAATTAAAAGCCGGAGTTGCCCGTTTTTGTCCTCTCCCTCTGAAGGTGCTTTGAAGCCCATATAAGGCTTCAAAGGAGCCTGTACCTCAAAGCATGAATCCAGTACTAAAGTCAGTGTGGGACTGAAGCTTCCCAGTAGAAGAAAATGCCTCCTTCCCCACTCTGCTTCCTCCCCTTGCCTGTTCCAGTAGCAAACCCTCCAGATCAAAGGGAATATCTTGGAACCATGGGAGCGATCAAAGAGAATTGGTTTGATTGTTCCAGGCCTGGTCAGGTGAATGTGATGGATCCTGTGGTGACAGCAGGGGGGAAAGCTCGTCATGGAACAACCATTCAGCTGGAATGTGGAGTTTGGAGCATGGAAAGCTCCTGCTGTTGCTGCCTGTTCCTCCCAGCTGTCCCTTGCTCAGGCTCCATTGGTCCAGTTCCTCCCAGCACTCCTGGTTCTTTGCATAACCTTTACCTTACCTTTCCTGGACCTGTGTCATTACTGATGTCATGTTCTGCTTGGTTTTGACTTGAACCCATTCCCAGGAATGTGCCAGTGCAGGAACTGGAACAGGTCAGAGTGTGGAGGGAATGGGAGGAGGTGGTGGGTGGGTTCTGCCTGTCTCATGGCACTGCATCACAATACCAGTGATCAGTTCTTTTAACTGATCTGGTACAAGTTAAGGACTAAAAGTAGCTTATTGTAAGAACCAAACCAAAATATTAACAGAATAATGGGGAGAGGGACTTGGGACAAGGCTGGGCAGTGACAGGACAAGGGGGAATGGCCTTAAGCTGAAGGAGGGTAGATTTAGATGGGATATTGGGAAGAAATTCCTCCCTGTGAGGGTGGTGAGGCCCTGGCCCAGGTTGCCCAGAGAAGCTGTGGCTGCCCCATCCCTGGAAGTGTCCAAGGCCAGGTTGGACGGGGCTTGGAGCAACCTGGGCTAGTGGAAGGTGTCCCTGCCCATGGCAGAGGGTGGAATGGGATGGTCTTTAAGGTCCCTTCCAGCCCGAACCATTCTGATGCTTTTATAAGGTAAGAGGATGATGGTTAAGTCAGAAGCTCTTCTCCAGCCTGGCTTCCCAAACATCAAGCAGGAAGGAAGGACCTTTATCCTTCAAAGGGAAATCACTACCCCCTGTAGTGATGAGCAGGAAGAAATTAGAAGTCCCATAATTCTAATTTTCAGACTGAACCACATTACTGAGGGGAACCATCAGTTTCTGGTGGTGTTCCATCAGTGCTTTCAGTTTACAAGCTCCAGCATGTGTCCCTGCCCTGTTAGACTAAGGAGCTGTGAAAAATAATGATCTGAGGAAAGAGCCCTAAAAATGCAACAACATTTTTCCTGTTTTCTGCGAGTTCTGGGAATGACACTTTGCACAATAGATCCATAGCAGAAAAGGTAGGAAAATGATATAGAAATGCATAAGCAATGAATGCACAATGCAGAATTATATAGAAATGCAAATATATGATGCATTATGCATATGATTACTGAAATAAACCCATAGGTGCAGCTGAAGTACCTCTAGCTAACATTCTGTTGTGAAGGGAATTAAATGAGTAAAGGCCAGAAGAAATAAAAAAAGAAACTATTTCAGTGCATTTTTAACACTTAACAAGAAATCTCAGTATCATCAAGATGGTTATACTGGCATTTTTATTTTCAGTGTGATTTCATGCTGGTTATTGATGAATTTCAAATTGATTTAATTCTTCTTAATAAGAATTTCGTGGTTTAACTGAATCTCTCTTGACTTTTAGAACCTATAATTCCTTATTAAGTCTTTTTACCACTTTTGGGCCCTGTGTTAACCTCCCTTTCCCTGTGCTGTAGGTTTGCAGCCAGAGCACAAGTTAATGACTCTCCAGCTTTTTGGGATGCTGCAGTTTCTCCTCAGTGATCCCACTGAACGTGCAAATTCAAATAACTAATCCCCCCCAAAGGATTCGTTTCAATAAGTAACATTTTAAATTATCTGCAGTTGAAATGTAACTGTGTAAGTTTTTCTTGTGTTCTGGCCTTTTGGAGAATATCAATATTCCTCCCTCACCCCACCTGAAGAGCAAACACCTCAAAAATCACCTAATAATTTTAAATGGCTGCCAGATCTGTTTGCCAGCTGGAATGCTGTGGAAAAATAGGAAAGGGAACAGATGAAACTGTTGGGAATTACCACCAACTTCCCTAAAAACCTTTGAGCAAAGTTTTGTGGTCATTCTATCTCTGCATTAGGACTAATTTCTAGTGGTGTGATCTGTCACTTGAATTTTACATGGCAAATTCATTATTACCCCGCAACAAAACGAATTTACAGCAGCTTGGAGGATTGAAAGTCCTGCTCATCTCCAGCCAGATTCAATTGTCAGCCAGTGTGCAAATGCAGCCTGGCCACACTGGAGGTGAACCCAAGTCCAGGAGCGATTAGTTGAGTTGACATGAGATGACTTCCCTTGATTTATGTGCTCCAGATGAGAGATTGTAGCAGACAGATGAAGCTGTGGATTTGCTCCTTGCTCAAGATCAAACTCTCACATCCTAAAGAGAAGCTCAGATCTTGATCAACCGCAAGGAAAAGTGGATAATAATGTCTGGTAATCTTCCTAACATCACCCCTCAAGCTTTCACTGTCAGCACAAGGATACGAATCTGATTCCTTGATGGTGTCAGATATTCCCCCTAAGCCTCCAGAAGGACCCTCAGCAAGTGGCACTGGCTCTAATGGAAACACTGGAAATTTGGCACTTCCTCATCTGAGAGTAAATTCCATCGCAATAATTGCAGGCCTGTTTTTGCATTAAATTTAATTTAATGCATTAAAAAAAATTAATACATTAAAAGAAAAAAGAGAAAAGGAAAAATTGAGAGTTTATCCACAGATACTCCCAGAGCCAGTAGCTTGAGCACTCCAGGGTCACATTCCTGCTCCCCTCATGGAAGAGGATAAACCTCCAAAGCTCCATAGACCTCAACTTGTGTTGATAAAACATTCCTCTATGGAAATACTGTAGAAGGATGTTAAATAACATTTATTCATCTGGCTTGGAAAGACCGTAGAAGGAATTTAAGCTGATGTTAAATAGCATTTATTCATCTGACTTGCATGATCTGCATCACAGCAATTCCATGAGAAGTATCAAGAATGACTGAAGAGCAAAGATGTTGTTAATAATCCTTAAAACCCCAGAAATGCCACAAGTCTGGCTCTGTTCAACCCTAGAGGGTCATTAGGGAAATGGCCCAACAAAGCATGGATTTACAGAGATTTAAGTAAAACTGATATCAGGAAGATACTCAGGATCCTGTATGACAAATGTAATTGCTCTTCTCTGTCTGAGTAATCTCATGCTAAAAAATACATCACCTAAAGGGCTCACACTGGCAGCAAGTGTCATTTTTCACACTGGTCTAGAAACTTAATTTCTTTCTGGGCTCATTAGAGAACATGAATTTTTTGACTTCTCTGTTTCATCATCGTGTTCTTCAGTGTTTCACTTGACACGTTCTCGTGCTGTGGGAACAAGTTTCAGCCTGTGGTGGTTCTGAGAGTGGGTGGATTGCCTTTTCTGTTCTGCCTTTTGTCATTTGCCTGTCAGTTTTTTAATAATGGATTCATTGTATAAAAATCCTAATTTCACGTCACTGTTGGTTCATTTCTTCTCAAGGGAAGTAGTGAGGGAGTGGGACAATTTATCCAGAAAGGCCACCTTTCATCCATCCATGGAGATGGTAATTTCTTGGCTAAGCAAGCCACACTTGGCCTGATCCAGTGTTGGCAGTAATCCTGCATCACCTGGGAGGCTGCATGGAATGGCCTTTGAGGTCTTTTTCCAGTGTTTCTTTGACTCTCTGGATCATTTGGGGACCAGAAAAGCACCTTTGAAATGTTTCAATCTGAGCTTTAGGGTCACTCATAATAGTAAAAGTTGCTTTAAGACGGACAAGTTGTTTGGGTACTTAGTTGATTTTATCACTGTCTGCATGATACAGTCTGTAGTTGGAGTTTCCTGACAGTTCAACTGACCTGTGCATGGTTTTATCCTGTATCCTGAATTTCCTCTGAGCACTGGGGGAGCAGGACTTGTTCTGCCCTTTTTCACCATGAAGGTTTGTAGTCACTGAGCTCAGAGCACAGCCTTTTTTTGATCTGGTGTAACCCAGTCCTGGTGGGCTGCAGGTAGTGTGTAAACATAAATTTCCCAATTCAAATGCAGAGGTCAAAATGTCTGGGGTTGCACATGAAGGTGGGAAACAGCCTGGAGTTGCACCAGGGGAGGTTTAGATTGGAGATCAAGGAAAATTTCTTCATGGAAAGGGTTGTCAAGCAAGGTTGTTGGAAAGGTTTCCCAGGGCAGCCCTCCCATCCCTGCAGGGATTTAAAATCCACGTAGATGTGGCACGTGGGGACATGGGTTAGTGGTGGCCTTGGCAATGCTGGTTGAACTCAATGGTCTTAGAGGGCTTTTCCAACTTCAGTGATTCTCTCATGCTGTGAATATTACTGCAGTTAATGCTGGGAAGAACATGGAGACTTGGAAAGGGAGGCAAAACCAGTGTCCTGGGTCAAACTGTAGATTTTCACATTCCTGCTGTTGGCCCTGTTAAGGTGATTAGAGATTGACTTGCCCTGATGCAGAGGAGTAGTTTGTCATTGTCGCAATTTATCCAGCAAATCCCTCATACCATTGTGTATTTCTCCTTATAAAGGATTTTTCTTAGCGAAGCAGGAACTTCTCCACAGTCCTTGGCCACGTTTCATGTGCAGGTTCACAGCTACTGTGGTCTTCAGCAGCAAAGGACTTGCAGGAGAGCAGGCAGGTACCTCCAGCAGTGAGGTGGCTGAGATGCTTCTCCTCATCCTTCCCTGCTGCAGGTGCAGGGTTTCCTCCTGCTCTGCCCAGGTTTGCCTTGCAGGAGGAGGGGGTTTTGGCAGAACCAAGGGCATAGCTGGCTGGTGCTTGGTAGAGGCATTACAACAGCCACTGTTGGCTGAGGTGAGGCTGTGTGGGCAGAGTTTAAAATGCAGGGTACGTTGGCAGAACGAGACTGGTGGTGGACATAGCTACTGTGCCTCAAAGTGATGTAAATTAGTTGGTGAAAAGCACCCTCTTGTAGAGGTTCATCATTATTTAAGTCTCTTAAATAATGGCAAGGGTCATCTCTAACTCCTCACTGAAATAAATATGCCTGAAGAATTTCACAGTGTGGACTAAAAAAATCCGGTTTCTCTTCCTAACTAAGAGCAGAGGGGCAGGCACTGATCTCTTCTCTCTGGTGACCAGGGACAGGACCTGAGGGAATGGCTGGAGCTGAGCCATGGCAGGTTTAGGTTGGACATTAGGAAAAGGTTCTTCCCCAGAGGGTGGTCGGGCACTGACCAGGCTCCCCAGGGCAGTGGGCACAGCACCAAGGCTGACAGAGCTCAAGGAGTGTTTGGATAACACTCTCAGGGACAGAGTGGGATTGTTGGGGTGTCCTGTGAAGGGTCAGGAGTTGATGATCCTGATGGTTCCCTTCCAACTCAAGATATTCTCTGATTCTGTGATCAGAAAGTCTATTCCTTTCCCATTGGCACATTGTGAGCTGTTAATATTAACTGCAGATGCAAAGCACATCTCTTGACATTTCCAGAATGTGAGGATGCTTTGTTCTTGTGCAGGTGGCCCTTTGCTTCTCCTCAGAGTCATTAAGGGGCTGCTTAAGCAAGTGACAGTGAAAAAACTTGGTGACAACTGTTCTTTCAATAAACTCCCACTCTGAGTAATGGGCTCCTATTGCCCTGCCAGGGCTCCCAGCTCACCCAGCTCTTCTGAGGTCCCTGGACAATAAGTTGTGGCACTAATCCTGTGAGTGTCTGTGCTTAGTTAATGAAGAATTAGGAATTAGATGCCTAAACCAATTCCTTACAGAGCAGCAGGCCTGAAGTGAACCTCCCTCCACTAACAGTTCACGTAATTCCTAACCTGGGCCCTTAGGGAATGTAACAGCAACAGTTAAAACCCTCTGTAATCATTAAATTACCCAGTTTGCATTTAAACTATATTCTAATGCCCACTTAAGTTGCATTCTTTTATTGTTGTCCAAATAAAATTGCTTTGGAGTTGTTTGAAATTAGTTCCTTCCCCTCTCCAGTGACTTATTAACAGGTTTATCAAGTTGTGCCCCACTGTGAGTCAGTGTGTGTGTGCTAAAAAGGGGTGTCAGTGATGCTGGGATGTGCATCCAGCCAAGTTATCCAGCCTCAGGTGTTATCTCTCCTCTCTCACAGAGTTTTCAACAACTTTTGTTGCTGTCACCTTTATCACAGGGGACATTCTGTGCAGGGGACATTCTGTGGCTTTATGTCTTCTTTTCCCCTGCCCTCATTCTTGTCATTAGTCTCCTTATTTAGTTTTTCATAGCACAAATATTTACACTTCATTTAACAAGGTGCCCAATGATTTCTTTAACACAAAGTCCTTGTAGGGCGGTTCATGGTGGATGCTCTGAAACCAGAGCCTGCAGACTCCTAAAGTCAATCAGGCTTTCAAACAGTGGTTGAACATCTCACCAAGGTACCCAACCAATCTGTGAAGCACCGAGGCTCCAGTAATAAAGTGCAATATTTGCCATCTGATTATTTCCGCCTGCTTTGTTTAATTACAGTTCGAAAATGAGATCATCACCAAACTGGATCACGAAGTGGAAGGAGGCCGAGGGGATGAACAGTACAAAGTGTTATTTGACAAAATGTAAGTGTTGAGATTTATGTCGCAGTGAAGTCAGGAGAGAGAGCAATTAGACTACAATGAACTCTGCGGCCCAGAAATAATTAAAATCTGTTAACGATGCACAATATTTAAAATTGCACCTGAGTCAAGGTTTTTCCTGCGTGGGATTAACAAGGCGAATGTAATTGGTTTTTTCAGTCTCCTGGAGCACTGTAGGAAGCACAAATACCTGGCTAAGAGCGGGGAAACTTTTGTGAAGCTGGTTGTGCGTTTGATGGAGAGGCTCTTGGACTACAGGACCATCATGCACGACGAGAACAAGGAGAACCGCATGAGCTGCACCGTCAACGTGCTGGTAAGCAGGGATTCCACCAGCTGGGATGATCCCTGCACTCGGAATTTTACACCTTGGTGTCAAACTGAGTCTCTGCTGGGATTCTTGTGGAAATCTAAAATGCTTTGGGGTTTTTTTCCTGTTTTGATGAAGGCAGATGTATGAAAATGTGGGTTATTCCTTCTTTGATTGATTCTAGGGGAAGATTTAAAGAGAAATGTTGTAAGGAGGGTTGTTCACTGACATTTACAATGGATTTGTGAACGACTTTATGCAGAAGAACACCTGACATACAGAATGTTGGGATTCTGTGCAGTTTATTCCTGAAATATTCACACATTTGCAATCCCATTTGTATTCTGCTTTCTGCTCAGCCTCCGTATTCAAATTTTTTGAGGAAATTTGAGTTACTATTCCGTTCACAACAGGAAAAAAATTCAGGTTGTTTTTGTCACTGATAGGAAATTTCCTTCTTAAAATTCCAGAAATTCTGTAGTGTCTGCTCTATACACAAAACTTTATCCCTTTGGACTTGAGTTGGAAGCAGTAGAAGTTATCCCTCATAGTACACACTGGTGGAAGCACTGGAGTATTAAGATTTTACAAGCCGAAAATGAGCACATATGGAAAATAACTTTTAGAGACCCCCAAATTATAGTAACTAGATTTGATTTTTCCAATAAGACTCAGCATTAAACTGTTTTCCACTAAGGCTTCTGAGCTTTCATCTCTCTGTATCGCCATCAAAGCTTTTATTTTGCTTTAATATGTGGGGCACAGCCAGTGTTTATGGTTTATGTGATATGGCTGATAGATTTTGTGCAGGAAAGAGCTGAGTGAGTGGTTTGTAGTATTTGTTTTGCACATAATGCAGCTCGTGCAGTGCAGCCTTTGTGTCGCCCCATCAGCCACAAACACGGCGGTGCCCACTGGAGCAGGAGAGGGGATCGGGACATCAAACCACAGACTGGGCCTTTATTTTTAGTGTGTTTTCCCTCCCTGTGCACATCAAAAAGCATCGTGGGAGAAGAGGAGGGACGTGGGGAGCTGTCACTGGCTGTTGGGTTGCCCGCAGAAAGGTCATCGCGTCCTCCCGAGCGGAATTGTGTTGGAAAATCCTGCCAGTTCACACAAGCAAGATGGGAAATAGGAAATCACAGACGCCACAGGCTCTAAGCCAGTGTGTAAAACTGGGAAAATTTCCTTAGGAAGGTCAATTTGTTCCTCCTTGCTTTCACTAGAATACTCTGAGTCTCTTCCCAGGAATTCTCACCATCCTGATTGCGGGGGACTCATGGCACACTTGGGGTTGGATTTTTCTCCAGGTGTCTCCAGCAGCATCTCCTGATGCTGATTTTTGGCATCTGAATTTCTCAGGGTTTCCAGATGATACATTTTGTGAGTGATTTGCTGCTGTCAGGTTAAATCACCATGAGATCCCCTGCACAAACCTCCCGCCGGAGTCAACGGGAAATGCCGGGAAGTGTCGCGGGCCAGAATTTTCCTTCATTTTCAGTAGCCATGATTTAAAACTTCAGCTTGATTTTAAACTCCCATTTGCCCTCCAGGGCCAACTCAGCCCTTTCATCATTCTCCAGGCACCTGCAGCGAAATTCATGCCTTTGCAAAAATCCAGCCATGGACTGGTACTCGGCACAATTCCCACCTGAGGTCTCAGAGAGTTCTTAATTGGGAATTTAATGATGCAGAGGCTTTCCTGGGATTAAGTGTGTCTGTTTTGACAGGAATTTCAGTTGGAGGGTTTGATCTGCATTTAAGCCAGTGCTAATGGGGAAGGGTCTGGAGCACCAGGAACGGTTGAGGGAGCTGGGGGGGCTCAGCCTGGAGAAAAGGAGGCTCAGGGGGGACCTTCTCGCTCTCTGCAACTCCCTGACAGGAGGGGGAATCAGGGGGAGAAGTTGGTCTCTGCTCCCAGGGAACAAGGGACAGGACAAGGCCTCAAGCTGTGCCAGAGGAGGTTTAAATTGGATATTAGGGAAAATTTCTTCCTGGAAAGGGTTGTCCAGCCCTGGCACAGCTGCCCAGGGCAGTGGTGGAGTCCCAATTCCTGGGGGGATTTCAAAGCCATGTGGATGTGGCACTTGGGGACGTGGGTTAGTGGTGGCCTTGGCAGTTTGAGTTGAACTCAAAACCAGTGAGCGTTTATGTCAACTGAAATGGTAAATCCCTGGAATAATCCATCATTTCCTCTGTGAAATGTGAATTTTGTCTTGTATTCCAGTTCAATTTGAAGGGAACTGCTTTATATCGGGTTTACCCATGTCTTAGCTGGGCTTGTGCATCTGTTAGTGGCTCCTCAAACTGCTTTAATTGAGCATTGAAATATATTTTAATTCAGGGAGGAAGAAACTGCTTTGTATTTTGTTTTCTTCAGTATATTTTAGCTTTTGGAGGTGAACTTTAAATTAGATTCAGAATTGCCTTTAATATTTCACCCAGTTTATCATACTTTGCATTTACAATATTTGTACTGTTAACTAGTTTATCTCAAAGGCAACCAGAGGAGAGCAATGCTAATGTGTGGCATATGAAACCAGAGAAATAACACTAATCTAACTTTTTATTTCTAAGGAAACCATTAGAATTCAAGAGCAGATGATGTATTGCCCAAGTCAGGTTCGGAGTTTTAAATCCATGGAACAACTGTTGCTTAAAAATTATGTTTTTTGTATATTAAAAAATTTTCAAGTTGAAACGTTTAATGATGTGTGACTTGCAAGTGCCAGAAGCAGCTTTCTAGCAGTGCTATTCTTGCAAATTCTTAACCTTTGCAATGAGACATGAGCCCTAATCCGCTGCAACATGAAACATCACAGCATTAGACTTTGTAAGTTAAATAACTTGTGTTCCAGCACTGGAGGCAAATTTCCCTTTGCAGTTTGGAGGCTGATGTTACGCAATTATGAATTTTTAATTTCCAGCGTGTTCTCTGTACGTTCCAAACTGAGAAATCAAAGAGTTTGTAATGAAATTATGTTGGTTTTTTGTTTGTTTTTTTTTTCCAGAATTTCTACAAGGAGATCGAGAGAGAAGAAATGTACATAAGGTTTGTAAACATGACTGGTGACAAACTGCCTGATGTGCTCCGGTGTAATTGGGGAAATTGAGTTCCTATTAAGGAGTCACTTGGGGGCTGGAGGAAGAGAAGTAATGAAAAATCATACCTTGACTGAACCCGAAGTAATTCAAAAGCTTATCTTCCCTGAGAACACCAAGTGCTGGAAGTTGGAGTCATGAGATTATCTTTGTCCCCTTTCTCCAACTCCTTCGGTTTTGTTCCACTGAACATTGAAATACTCAGGAGTGAATATTCTTCTTTCTGTGGAGAAAATAAATAAGTAAAAAGAAAGCTGAGTAAAGAAATAATGGTACAAAATATGTGACTTGGGGTAAAAACAACTATTAAATAATATCATGACTGATACTTATTTTAAACTTAAAGCTTTCAGGAACCTTTCAAAATCTATTTGCACACAAAGTAAACATGGAAATGTGTCATTGTGTTTTCTGTAAACCTCGGGGTTCCTAGTCCTCCATTTGTGCTGTGGTTTAAAGTTGACTACACTGTTGTGCTAAAATGCTGAACCTCGTGTTTGTAATGCTACTTTAGGTATCTAAATATTTTTAATTAATTCATCCTCACATGCTTGCTACCTTTTTGGAAGAACTTTCACTTGTGAACTCAGCTCCTGTTGTTTTAGCAGGTTGCAAAAAGAGAAGAAAATGGCAGGATTGATTACTGTGGACAAACATGGGAGGTTATGAGTTGTAGGTCTGCCCTACTCAGCATCCCTAGAAAGACAAATTGTCTCTCAGTGTCACACTCCCACCCAAACTCTCTCCTAATTCTGTTAACAAACTCTTAATGAATATCAAAGTTGAAAGTATTTTCACTGTTTTTTTCAAAATACAGTTTTACTGGTTTCGTGGAGGTTTTTTTAGTTGTTTGTAAAAATCTCAACAAACAAATGAAGAGAATCCCCTGCCAGAGGTGTGATGATATTGAAGTTAAAGAAGAAAACTTTTATCTGTCTCCACAGCTGAACTGTAAGAGTGCTTTGTCTTGCACAAAATCTCTATTGGATTCCTCATCACAAGTCATTAATATGGTGGTGTCTGGTCAAAGGTTGGACTTGGTGATCTTGGAGGTCTTTTCCAACCTTAATGATTCCATGATTCCCTAATTCTCTGAATATGCATTGAAAAGAACACAAGGGAATGCAAATGGTCCCAAAGGTTGTCTGCACACAGAAATAGGAACTTTAAATAATCCCACGAATATTTAGGTGTTAGAAGATGGACTTGAACCCTTGTAATCTTCAAAATAAATTATTTAGTAACATCTTAAAGCCAACCTTTTGTAAACACCACTGTTTTTCTTCCTTGCAGGTATTTGTACAAGCTGTGTGACCTGCACAAGGAGTGTGATAACTACACAGAGGCTGCCTACACGTTACTCCTGCACGCAAAGCTCCTGAAGGTAAACCCCAGAACACATCCCAAGTTTGGCAAATCATGTCAGCAGTAACCCAGAGAGGTGTTTGTCACTCAGAACATCTGCACTTTAAACTGTGAACTGTATTTCCTAAGCATTAATCTCACTGAAAACTTCCTGGATAGATGATGTTGTTTCTAACATGCAGCTCATTCATGTGATTGTGTCACACGTGTGGGAGCAGGTACCAACCATGTCCCCCTTGTTATCACATACAAAGATGCTCCTCTTGCCAGCACTTGGGTCATGAAATCACATGTTTAATACAACCCAGTCATCACTGAAATACCAGCAAGGGGTTTTATTTCTTAATTTTAAAAAGCAGTTAATGGGAAAAGTAAAAATGTAAATGTGATAAGAATTAGCATTTTTGGAAGTGTTTGCTTTAGTCCCATTCATCTTCCTCATATTTTATCACCCACAGTGAAATCTTTCTCCCTCAGGGTGTCCTGGTTCTCTTTCCACTCCCCTCAAGGACTGTAGCACCCAAGGTCATATGGGGCAGAGGGTCAGGGACAGAATAATTGAGGGGCTGAATGGGGCTTGGAGCAACCTGGGCTAGTGGAAGGTGTCCCTGCCCATGGCAGGGGGTGGAATGGGATGGTCTTTAAGGTCCCTTCCAACCCAAATGAGTCTGTGATTCTGTATTATTGCAACCTGCTGCACTATTGCTATTATGGTGCCCCACTTGATAAAGAAAATTTATCTCATTCTAAGCAGCCAATTGTTCTTGGCAATCCTGGATTTAATTTAAGCAATCCCAAGTGAAATGCAGGTGTAAAAAAACCTATTTTCAAAAGTTGGAAAGTGGAAGGTGTTAAATGAAATACTTCTAATGGATGCAGTGCCAATGATTCCTACGAGTAAACTGAATCCAAGCCATAATTAGACTAAATACGATGCAGAGCATAAGTGTGCAACTTAAATTAAGACACTTTGAAATGTATTTACTGTATTTTAAAATATTTAGAGAAAGAAAATATCAGGAATGGCTCTGACACCTCCCTCTCCCAGGCTGGTGCAATCACTGCCCCTGGGCAGGAGTTGGAGTGAGGAACTCGCCGAGTCTGTGGCTGGAAAGGTCTGTCTTGTTCCCACAAGGGACATAAAGCAGGACTGGCAAACTGTGCAGTGCTTGCTCATGACAAGAATGAACCTTTTAGACAACATAAAGGATTCACTCCCTTCCACAGGTGCTAATTTTCTGGAAAAATGATGGAATAAACCTGGCCAGAAAAAGTCATTCAGACTTTTAGCTGTTATGGCTTGACCTCATTAGTTAGTTTATATGACCTTAAATTAGAGTTTAGCCAGTTTTAGCTTCTCTTAGATAATGTCTTCAAAGACCAGATGAGTATCTTAATTTACCCCTTTGAATTCACTGGGAAGAAATATCCATTTTTCCTCTCTTATAATGCAAACTGATAGAAAATGGCAAATACAGGGGCAGGATTTGTCACAGGCTTTCATCACTGAGGGGATGTTTGTTTATAAGTGTAATCATATTATAGTCTGGAATTACTTTGTTATTAAAATGTATCAATCTATCCACCTAAATTCTTGTTACTACCAGTAGTTAGCACTGGATGGAGGGTTCAGTATTGCTGGAGGAGCAGCAATATTGTGGTGTGTGTAACTAAGCAATTGAGTTTTTTTGTCAAACCTCGAGTACAGGATTTTCAATGACACTCATCACTGGCAGATATTCCATCACACTGATTTTAATGGGATCACATTTAGGTCAAGACTGAGAGTGTGAGAATTTCACCTTTAAATTTGCAGGAAGGCTGTGCTTGTGGAGAGAGAGATGCCATCATATTCTGCAAATTACTGCAAGCTGATGAAGCACACTCAAGAAAAGAGACTTTTGTTGTACTTCTAACCCATTTTGTCAAAATTGAGATGTTCAAAACTAACAGAAGATAGTTGCTCTTTGCATGCTGAAAAAAAAAAGCCATTGTATTGCAGGCTACCTGAGGTTTGTGTTGCTCAGAAACACAGCTTTGCATTACAAAGGTGTCAGAGTTGTCTGTAGGCCCAAACACAAACACTTTGACCAAATTAAGAAGTAATTGGGTGAAATTTAATAAGGTATAAGAGGTAAAACTGGGTGGTGTAATGGTATTTCTGGAAATGAATCTGTGAGTTTTAGGGTGGATACTAGGGAGAGATTCTTCCCTGTGAGGGTGGGGAGGCCCTGGCACAGGTTGCCCAGAGAAGCTGTGGCTGCCCCATCCCTGGAAGTGTCCAAGGCAACCTGGGCTAGTGGAAGGTGTCCCTACCCATGGCAGAGACTGGGACTGAATGGACTTTAAGGTCCCTTCCAACCCAAACCATTCCAGGATTCTGTGATTGACATCTTTGCCTTGCTCCATTAGGCATTTGCTGGAAGAGCAAAAGCTACTAATTGCAGACAGGCTGGATGAAGTTAATTGTGCTTCTCCAGCCCTCCAAACATTCCCTCCGAGTTGTAGCCATCTCATTTCCATACCTGCAGTCCTTTCCTTTTGTGTTGATGTATCTTGGCTTCCAGGCTTCTCTCAAAATGAACTGCAAGTGTTCATTGTGTCCCCAGGGGGTTGGACCATCAGCAGGCCAAGGTCAGTCTCATCAACCTCGCCCAGGACAGGAAACCCCCTCCAGAAGCTTCCTTCCAACTGATAGATGGAATTAGCCTCCAATTACAGCATTCAAAGAAATGGTCCTTGTGCCCAAAGAATCAAAGTGCACAAAAACCCCTTTGTTAGTGCATTAGCTGTGGTACCACTCCTTTAAATAAAAAAAAAACCCTCTATTTTTAGCCTCATGTTGCTGACATATCTCATCACTTTTGATTTGCTTTCTCTTTTCCCTTTTTTTTTGTATGATTTAGTGGTCAGAAGAAGCATGTGCAGCACATCTTACCCAGCGGGATGGATACCAAGCTGCTACTCAAGGACAGTTGAAAGATCAACTCTATCAAGAAATTATCCATTACTTCGACAAGGGCAAGGTAAAAAGGGAAGAAAAAAAGTGCAAATATCTTTCATTGCTTTTCTCTCTAACTTATAAATTAAATAGTAAACATAGTTTGCATCCAGTGACCTTCAAGAAGCACTTAGAGGTTATGATACTAAAAAAAGTCAAAAGAAATCAATGGTACAGTTACAAGTGCCGTGTTAAGGGTAAATATATGTGCATATGATGCCATGGAGTAAATAAAAAAGTGATGCATTTAATTTGTCGGGACCTTTCTGGCAGTTCCAGGAGCTAATGCAATCCTTCAGCTCCCCTTGTTTTCTTTCATGTACACAAATAATTCCCTCAGGGAATGGATGTCTGTGATTCAATATCATAAATATTCTGAGGTGGGAATATTTCATTCCAATTGCATCTTTTAATGCCAAGGGAATTTGCATTTGGCATTGCCTGGTGGGAAGGGGAGAGTGCTGGTGTGAGAGGGGAAGGGGATTAATGTTGTAGACAAGGATGTTTCAGTGTTTGGATATTTCCAAAATGTTTAAGTATAAAAGTAAGAATCTCTTTGTCACAACATTTCAGAAATACAAACTTGGGTTTTAAAAGTAAACTCTGTTGCATAAATGTAGTGCAAACAGAAATACTAGAACTGCAGTATGATCCACCCAGCTTGTGTTTTCCAAGTAAGTTTTTAAGTTTTTAACACATAAGTGTTTCCATAAATTCATAGAATCATTTTGATAGAAACCATAACTTCTCTCATTTTGATAGAAACTTTGCTTAAAGAGGCAAATTTTATAACTTACCTTAATGCAATATTTAAAAGTTGTTAATAAGTGGTGTGCTAAAAGTTGTGATTCTGGACTGGGATAAGCAATTTAAAATTAATAATTGTAGACTGTGATAAAAATTGTAAAAACAGTTATTGCAGAGAGCTGCACGAGTGGCTGAGTGGGGCTGGGGCTGGTGGAGGTGCCTTAGTGCTTAGACAGCATTGGTTTTTCCTGCCCAAAAACCTTTACTAACCCTTTCCCAGTGGATAAGGAGAATCTTGTTAGAATTAGGGTCATAACTGACTTAAAAGTCTATTTTAATATCACGTTCCTCTGTGGAAAGGAAAACCAGAAACCTCCTGTTTTTATTTTGTTGGTTTATGTCTTTATGGCTTCCCATTAGTCCTTTATGGTGCTGCTATCAAGGAATTGCTCTTTGAGCACCAGGCCAGTGGATTTGAGCTGGAAGGGAGGAGCTGCAGCATCCTTTACATCTCTGTAGGACCCAGCCTGTCTCAGAGCTGTCCCTCCTGTGTCTGGGATGGCACTAACGATGTGTTTACACACACAGCGGGCAAAATACCTCCCCCAGCATGGGTCAGTGCTCCAGAGACCAGTTAGACCAAGTAATCACTCTTAATTCTGTCACATTTTGCTGCTGGAAATGAGAGAAGGCTCTGCCAGCTTTCAAAAGGAATAGCACTGGAAATGCTGTCCTTGCCTTTTTTCCTCGTTGTTGGATTAAGAACTGAATTTTCGTCATTCTCAACATTTTTGGTGAACAACCATGTGATTATTGCTCAGGGCCTTGGAGCAACCTGGTCCAGTGCAAGGTGTCCCTGGCAGGGGGTGAAATGAGAGGGTCTTTAAGGTCCCTTCCAACCCAAACCATTTAGTGGTTTATGATTATTCCCATTCTTTGCATAACTCCAGCCACAGGAGTCCTGTGTGATTTTTGTGTGTGTGTGAGGAGATGATTCATTTCCAAAGTGCTCTTTTCTAGTTACAGATAGTCCTTCCCTCATTTTCTGGTCACTCAAGCTGGTGATAATTTTTCATATTGTTCAATAAAAATTGAAATAAAAAAATCAATATACACTGAGAATATTCATCTTACATGAATTTTCAAATGTCAGGAAACTCCAAGTGGAGGTTTCCACTGTAGAGTGAAGGTAATCCTCTCATTTGGGATATTCTGACATTAAGTTAAATCAACTCAATACATTTACCTGTGCAGTGTGCAAATGTATTCCAGCAGCTGCTTTAACCATGATCAGTAACACACCTGAAATAGTATTTTCTGTGCCTTTTTGGAGGACTGTGCTGATGCACAGACCACTTTGGGGAGTTTTGTACCATAATCCCCCAGCTGTGTCCCTGGCCTGGCAATTCACTCTGGGTCGATCCCACCAGTTTGATTTCTCTTCCCATAAAGTTAACAACAGATGTCAAAGGAAGGTCACTTCACCCTGTACAGCTGTAGAGCTACTTCCAGGCTTTTCCAGAAGCTCAGGAGTTTTGTTTTAAAGTTCTGGGACTGTGCCTCCTCTACCCCAACCTGCCTAACGGGAACCTGTGGACATGGGAGGGAAGGAAGTCTTGGTGAGAAACATTATCTAGAAGAAAGGGAGGAGAGGGATTTCCTGAAAGGTAACACTTGGTTTAAATCATTGGCTTTTTGATTTTTAAAGGATTGTGTAGTTCAGCCTCTCAGAAATCACAATCCCTTTCTCTTAGCAGAGTTATTTCCCAGTGGGAACATATGGTACACTTGTCAAGTGAAGACAAACCATGAGGCTTATTCCCTAAATATTCGTGGTGAGGTGGATTTAGAGGAAGGTACAATTCTCCATACACAGACTGGAACAGAGTGAACCTCTCTCTTCTAGACCACAAATGCTTGAAAAATTCATAATTTAATAATATGGAGTGTGAACTTGCACTGAAAGCAGGAGGGTGGCACCTTATTTTGGCTGAGAACAAAACACTGACCCTTACCACAAGTATCCCTGTCATTTGTAGTTTGAGAACCAATTAAGGTTCTTCATTTTTATTTCTATTTTTAGTCTATTATTATTAGGAAGCTTGCTTTTTTACCTGTATTTGACTTTTGGTCCTTAAACCAACCTTCTGTAAAGCTGAAATACACCTTCAGTGAATGAACATTTTCAGGTGCAACTTCTGCATTTTGCTGTTCTGCTTTATGATTTGATTCCTTATTAGTAATACTTTATTCCTTCCTTTTCTAAGCTCTTTGCTTCCAAACTGCAAGTCGTGTCCCTGATCTAGGCATCGTTTTCTCTCCTAGATTATTCTTCTTCGCTGCATTGCACTCTCCAGTCTCATTCCATCTCTCTTGGCTTTTGCCCTTAAAAGGCTTATCCTCACTGCTTATCCCAGCAGTCAAACCCACCCTTTGAACTGCTCTCAAGTGTTTGCTTTCTCTGTGTTTTCCTGAAGCTTTGTGATTTCCAACAAAGCCCTTAATCCAGGGACTTTGCTGAAAATTGGTAGGTTGGGATATCTCAGGGCGAGAAGGAAAAATAGCGACGGCAATAAAGGGATGAGGGAAGGGGTGAAATTTTGCCCGTGTGGAGCAGTTTTAGTCAATGCTAATGAACTCCTGAAACCAAGGAATACTCAGTGTCAGTGACAAAGATAAGGTGTTATTTTAAACAGGTTTCTGTGGTCTCTGGAGCCATAAAGGAAGCAGCAGCATTGTTGCTCCTGCACGGAAAAATGCAGGGACGGCGACGTGTCTCGGGTTTGCCGGTGGACGCCGCAGTCTGTAAATCAGGACGTTTTCCTCTGCTCCTTCATAAATTGAAAGTGTTGGTCCTGAGGAGAAAAAAGTAAATAAATGCACACTGCTCATTTATTTCTGCTCCTCCTTCCTCCTCCCCTCCAGAAAAAAACACCTTTTACTATTTCACTGCAGCCAGAAAGCACAAAATATTTGAAATTACACAATAAATGCCACACTTTGACTTAAAATGCCTGTTCTTTCTGGCTCGTGGGGTGGCATCGAATGGGTTTTTCTTCCATCAGACAAGAGAGTGGTGAAGTTCACCTGTCTGCCAAAAATGAGCACAAGGCTTCTGGCCAGCTCAGATCCCACATCAGAGTGTGAGCCCATCCTGAGGGCTGTGAAGGACAGACAGCCTTTGGAGAGGAGAGATGTGGTGTCTGAGTGTGTTCCAAATGAATATAGCTCTTTGTTTAAAGGGTTTCCAACCTGGCAGAGAAATACTGTGTTTTAGCATTTTATTTAAAATATTAAGCTTACATGTTGGTTAATTAACACTATCTGAAATTTAATCAGCTTGGAATGTCCCTCACACATCAGAATATCCGTGATAATATTCTTATCCCATACTATTTCATTGCTACTGACCATTAACCCAGCAGGAGCTGAGAAATACCCTGAGATCCTCCTTTGCTGCTTTTAACCTCAAAAACTAAATTGGATGCTGTAGTTCTTTTTGGGCAACAAGCAATCCAGCTTGAAAAATAAATCACCAGGTTTTCCCTAAAAAAAAAAAAATCTCCTTCTGAATCTTCAAAGTCTTTCCCATAACAATTTGCAGCTCGTGTCCGCACAGCTAAATTTGGCTACACACATTTTTCTTATGCTTTCAGTTTAAAAGAAGCATTTTGCTTCCACTATCAGCAGCCTCTCTCTCTGGTCCCCTCTCCAAATAAATTGTTTCTCACATTAATGAGTTGTACCTCGTACAAATCCTGTGTAGTAGCTCCCCATACGACTCATTTCTCCACAAGACCTGCCATGTCCTGGGCAAACCTGGGAAACCTTCCAAGGCAGGAAATCTGCGAGGCAGCAGATTGGGAGTTACTGACCTTCAAGAATATAGATTTCATTTCTCAGGATCCTGTGCCACAGCCCTGTGCTGTCCTCACCTGAATAAATTGACTCTGGAGTAAACAGCTGAATTTTTCAGAGGGTTGTACAGGGAATTTGAGACACACAGTTCCTGTTTCTTTTTGGGATGTTGGAAAAATCACCGGCTTGGGTTTGGTTTGTGGTGATGTTGGAAGTGTTGTGGTCAAGCTGCACAAACAGCCAAGGGAAAAGCCAAGTAGTTCAGGAAACAGCCTCAAGTTGCACCAGGGGAGGTTTAGACTGCATATTAGGGAAAATTTCTTCATGGAAAGGGCTGTCCAGCCCTGACACAGCTGCCCAGGGCAGTGATGGAGTCCCCATCCTGGAGGGGATTTAAAAGCCGTGTGCATGTGGCACTTGGGGACATGTTTTAGTGGTGACCTTGGTAGTGCTGGGGGCACAGTTGCACTCGATGGTCTTGGAGGACTCTTCCAACCTTAGCAATTCCCTGATTCTATAAACCTGTGGACTCGTGGACCTCTGGAGTTCAGGACACTTGACATGGTAGAAATTGAGGTCATCCTGGAGCCTTCTCTTCTCCAGGTGAACACCCCCAGCTCTGTCTCCAGAGCAGAGATGCTCCAATCCTTGAGACATCCTCATGACCTCCTCTGGCTCCACTCCAGCAGGTCCATGTCTTGGTTTTACTGGGCTCCAGGGCAACAGTGCAGGTGCCAGTGTGGGACAGGCTCTCTGCGGTGTGACCCTGGGGCTACAGAGCCCCAGTGACGTGATAGTGCTCACCCTGGGCAATACCAGTGTGGCATCCAGCCCCCTCAGCTCCAATCTTGCCCTCCTCTCTCCTAGAATCCAGAATCCTGTACCTCTTGATGTTCAGGTGCATTAGCTGGTGTTCCATGGCACACAGCCTTAGCACTGAGCTGGGGCTTTGTGTTCCCAGACGTGCTTTGGGAACATGTTGAGATGTCTGTGCTTATCCAGGATTCAGTGGAAGAACCCAGTGAGTTTGTTTACAGTGTCAATGCAAATCTAAAGTGATTTAGACTTCCATTTATTTCCAGTTTTGTTCAGCTCCAAAGCTGTTTGCCTGAGATCATTTATAAATATTTTGATAATGAAAAAGAGAGTAGAAGTGGTTTGGTTTTGGAGAGGGACTGGTTAAATCTGGAACACACAAGGCAAGGGAAATGATGGTAACACCGTTGTCTTTGAAATGAAAATATGCAAAAGTTATGGATGACTGAAGTTCCAAACAAAATGGCAATCAAAATGGGGAAAGGTTAAGTGATTTTGAAAGGTTTCACTTGCTGACTTACCAAACAACTGAATACTAGTTCAGTTTCTATAATTTGGTGGAATATTGCTCGTCTGAGTCAAAATTAACCCAGTATGTGAAAATGTGCTCCTCTTTCTGCAACTGCGCCTTTACTATTAAATTTGTGTTAATTTTTGTTTAGAAATAGAAATATGTTCTGTATCATCATGCTAGATTAGATCCATAATGTGGATAAAAACATTCAGCTCCTTCTATTTGCAAAGATTGCGTTGCAGAGCCCACAGTCTGCCTTGTAATTTCCTGCAGACGTGATCCCTCATTACCGTGATTGTAATTAGTCCTTCTGATGAGTTTTTCACCTTCAAGGCACTTCACAAACATGAGGGAGCTCGTGTTCATTCCAGTCCTCTTCCCTGGATAAATAATATTCTGAACCCTGTTGTAGAAATAAGAGAAATCAAGAGGAGGGGTCGAACATCACGAAAGGTTAATGCAGTACCAGGTTCTGCTCCTCGTGAGCATCCACTGCTTTTTTGTCCTAAATTAGGTCACCACTCAGCCTCTGTTTGCCCCAACATCTGCCCATTCCTTTTTTGTGGAACTCAAAATCTCCTGTTCTACACTACTACAAACTACACTACTCAGTGTAGTTTGTAGCCCATATTTTCTCTTTGAGAGCATAAGTCTCTGTCCTTTCTCCCTGTGATCTCCCATAACTATTTTTCCTTGTGCAGCTCCTCATCTCCTCCAGCATCAGCAGCTTCCTGCCTCTCCAGGCTGCTGTATTCCAGCCCTTCTCCCTCAGTTTGCCAGGACCATCCCTCAGTCCATCCTTTGCCCTCCCTTTGAAAATTGGTTCCTCGTTTCCAGGGAGGAGCAGGGATGGAGACCAGTGGGACCCGAACCACATCTTATTTTTGTGGCATTGGTGTGTCACACACGAAGACTTACTGAGGTTTCAGCCACACTTGAATCCAAATTTCCAATTCCTAGGAGAAAAAGGATATTCCAAGTCCCCGTGAGGAGTTTGTGCCACTCAATCAGAGGTAGCTGTGCCCTGCCTGACTGCTCAGCCTGTGCTGGCAACAGTCTCCATCACTGGCAGTCGTATGAACCGTTAATGTTTTACTCTTATTTTTTAATTCAGCATCTAGAATGAGGAATTTTCCTAAAAGTCTTATTTTTTCCAAGTTTTCCTGATATACTAAGAAATGCAATTTCAACTTGCAGATCAAAAGACAAAATTCACCTGACATTGATTTTGGGCTTTAAATGGTGGGATTTCATGTGTGTGTTTTGGGGGGCTTTTGGGTTTTGGGGTGTAAAGTATCTCTTATTTACGCAGTGCTTTGAAGTGGATGGGATTGAGGGATCTGTAGGGGATGGATGCAGGAATCAGTTGTGTGCCTGAAGGTTTCCCCAGGACACCATTCCTCTTCTCTCTCCCCACCTCCAGCTCCCACCATCTTTGGAATTTGTGGTGGTTCATCTCAACCTCCTCGTTCCCAAAGGTGGCTGGTTTTGGGGAGCAATGGGCAATTGTGTGTTCAGCCCTTTCCCTCAGCCCTCTTTCATCCAACTGCTTTTTGCTGCTGCATCTCAGTATTTCACCAGGACAAGGAACATGTGGCCTGGTGCTGAGAGGAGAATTAGGTGGTTTGGACAGAGGATTTAAATTTCAGATGACGGCTAATACAACCTAAATGGATTTATAACTCATTCTGAATCTCATTTTTTTAATAAAGTGAGGTCAGCAATGCCAACCAAATTTCAGCAGCAGAGGCAGATCATCAAGTATGATCTTAGATAGCCTGGTGTGCTAATTTAAGCATATTTTTGGGTTTGAGTGGTTCTTTATCTTTACAGCGGGGAAAAAAAAATTAAAAATGCACATTTAAAACCATTCTTGCTGCTCCTCATTAAGATTGTTGCCTTCTGAAGAGCTGAAGGATATTGTTAAATTTCTTTGGGTCAGTTGAGATGGCTGCTGAATTTCATGGTTGAAGAATGAGAGGAAGAAGAACCATTGGAAGTATAATGAGTATTTGTTCAAAGCAATATCTGCAAATTGCCTGTCCTGTCTAATATAGATTATAGATATTAGAGGGAGAGAGAGGTGATTATGAAGTATAATCAATCAGCAGCATTTATCCAAAGTCCTGTGGGTTTCTTTGTGGATAGGCTGTGTTTACACATTACTGGGTCTCTGGTTGGGCTGGCAGGAATCATTTTGTTTCTGAAGCAGTTTGATCATTTGACTTGATTTGCATCAAGTAAATTTGCATCCTCTGCCAGGGAAGGTCATGGAGATGTCCTTGAGTGCTGTCACATGGCACATGCAGGAAAACCAGGGGATCAGGTCCACCCAGCTTGGGGTTAGGAAAGGCAGGTCCTGCCTGACCAACCTGATCTCCTTCTGTGAGAATGGGACCCACCTCATGGATGAGGGAAAGGCCGTGGGATCTGGATGAGGGGATCGAGTGTGCCCTCAGTCAGGTCACAGGTGACACCAAGCTGGGTGGAGTGTTGATCTCTGGAGGGCAGGAAGGCTCTGCACGGGGATCTGGACAGGCTGCATCCATGGGTTCAGGCTGGTGGTAGGAGGCTCAAAAAGGCCAAGTGCCCTTGGGTCACCACAACCCCACCCAGCGCTCCAGGCTGGGGCAGAAGGGCTGCAAGGCTGCCCAGCAGAAAAGGCCCTGGGGGTGCTGGTGACAGCAGCTGGACATGAGCCCCGGTGTGCCCAGGTGGGCAAGAGGCCAATGGCCCCAGTGCCAGCCATGGTGTGTCACAGGCCCAGGGCAGGGTCTGTCCCTGTGCTGGCACTGCTGGGGCACCTCCAGTGCTGGGGGCAGTTCTGGGCCCCTCAGACCAGAGAGACATTGAGGGGCTGGAGCATGGTCAGGGAAGGGAACAGAGCTGGGAAGGGTCTGGAGCACCAGGAGCAGCTGAGGGAGCTGAGGGGGCTCAGCCTGGAGAAAAGGAGGCTCAGGGGGGACCTTCTCACTCTCTGCAACTCCCTGACAGGAGGGGGGAGCCGGGGGTTTCGGGCTCTGCTCCCAGGGAACAAGGGACAGGATGAGAGGAAACAGCCTCAAGCTGTGCCAGGAGAGGGTCAGACTGGGTATTGAGAAAATTTCTTCATGAAAAGGGCTGTCCAACCCTGGCACAGCTGCCCGGGGCAGTGGTGGGGTCCTCATCACTTCAGGGATTTAAAAGCCGTGTGGATGTGGCACTTGGGGACGTGTTTTAGTGGTGGCCTTGGTAGTGCTGGGGAGTGGTTGAACTCAAGGTTCTTTAAGGCCTTTTCCAACCTAAACAATTCCCTGATTCTGTGATTCTCTCAGCACAGACATGTCTAGCTCTGCCACAGCTCTTTGGCACATCAGATGCTCAGTGTTTTCAGGCGTGCGACACAATGCATTTTGTGTGTTTTATTCAGATTTGTGTTATTCTAATGTTGTTGTTTAACCAAGGTATGTAATTCAGTTTCTTTGTTGTTGTTTTATGATTTTTTTTCCCTGACAGATGTGGGAAGAGGCCATTGCCTTGGGTAAAGAACTTGCAGAACAGTATGAAAATGAAATGTTTGATTATGAACAACTCAGTGAACTACTGGTAGGTTTTTTTAATGACATAGACGCTGCAATAATTTGTTCAGAGTTGAATTCTTAAGCTTGTAAAATTATATCAAAAATCCTATAGTTATGACAGTAAAACACAGAAATAGATGCCAGTTTTGGCTTTGTTGGACCAATGTTGATTAACTGGCTACCACTGGAGTGCCTGAAAAAGATTGAATTTATTTTTTTTAGCTGAAAGAAAAATATTTCGGTAATGTTAAGCTGATTTATTTGGAGTATAAAAGGAAATTTGGAATTTAAATATAAATGGGAACATGAAAAAATCCCCATTCTCTCTCAAGTGTCTTTCCATATTCACATTTCTTTTTTTAGGTATGAATAATCCCCAAGCATTCATGTCTAGAGTCAGTTATTTTTGCCCTGATGTTACCCATTCATTATGCCTGCACCATTTTTTTTTTCTCCTGCTCTCTTCCAAGAGATAAATGGCAGCTGTCACTGTCCTTCCTAAATGTCCCAACCATTTCCGTGGGAGCTGGGACATGATTCCAGTTTGGTTCTGAAAATACTCAACGTTCAGGTTTTTGATACATTTTACCTTTGCAGTTAGAGTATATTTTCCTTAAATTCTTTGAATTGTTTATCTGCTTCCTTTATCCCAGTCTGTCTGAGCTGGGCATTCATCTGGTGTTGACATGATTTAAGCAGCCCAACCAGGCACTCAGCCCCACATGCCCCCAACTCACTCACTCCTGGTGGGATGGGGGAGAGAATCAGAAGAGTTAAAGTGAGAATAAATAAATAATAACATGGGTTGGATGAAGACAGGGAAAACAGTGAGTTCATTCCTCACTTCCCATGGGCAGACTATCTTCCATCCCCAGGAAAGCAGAGGTCTATCACACATGATGGTGACTTGGGAAGACAAATGTCATCACTCTGAACATCCCCCTGTTCCTTCCTCTTCCCACAGCTCTACGTGCTCAGCATGACAACACATGCTCTGGGATATCCCTGGGATCAGTTGGGATCAGCTGTCCTGTCTGTGTCCCTTCCCAACCCCTTGTGCACCCCCAGCCTCTCCCTGGTGGGCTGAGGAGAAGGAAAGGCCTTGTCTCTGTGCAAGCCCTGCTCAGCCATAACAGAAACATCCCTGTGTTATCCACCCTGTTCCCTGCACAAATCCAAACCACAGCTCCACACCACCTACTGGGAAGAAAATTAACTCTACCCCAACCAAACTCAGCCCAGATGACTCAGAGCCATCTCCCCAGAAGTATCTCCATCCCCATCTCCCCAGAATATCCATTATTCCGTGGCCTCCACTGTTGTTCTAGGGATTTATTCAACAGAGAATATTCATTTCAGTATAAAAGGAATTTGGTACAGATTGTTCCTCAGCTAGAGATGATTGTCATGTGTCAGAAATGATTATTCACCAGGGGGTAGCTACTCTCTGAGTCCCTCAGTTTTAATTTTCCATCTCTTTTATGCTTGAACATGGGAACATGAACAGTTTGGCGCAGAGGCAGCTACTCTCTCATTATCCTGCTGTATCCATTTTGGAGGAGAAGTTGGAATTAACACTTTATTCATTGTAGCTGATGGCCAGTGATCACAGAGTGATCGAGTGATTTGGGTTGGAAGGGACCTTAAAGCTCATCTCATTCCAGCCCCCTGCCTTGGGCAGGGACACCTTCCACTAGACCAGGTTGCTCCAATCCCTGTCCAACCTGGCCTTGAACACTCCCAGGGATGGGGCATAATACCAAGTTATGTATTTTTCACCATTTCTCTTGCATAGTAAATACATCAGTGTTTAAGTGACATAATTCCAGGCAATGGTTTAAACCAGGCATGGGTATGGAGTTTCTCCCTCTTAGAAGAGGGGAAACCCAGAACTTCCAATCCTCACACCAGACAACTGAGTTTATCTGCTCTTTATTTATCAGTGAGGAGAAATTTAGAGAGATGTCACAAAAATTAGTCCTGATGTGCTTTGGGCATTCATTCTTCATAACAGAAAGATCAAATTCATGCTCCTGAATGAATCAGGTCTCACATACCCCATCAGCTTTTCTTATTACCGCTGCTGAATAGCTCTTTTTTTTCTCACCACAATAAAATTTAGAAGTTTTTTGTTCTTTCTGTTCTCCCTCTTGTCTCTTTTATTCAAGCAATATTAAATATCAGACTCTAAGACAATTGACAAATGACAAAATAGTTTTGCTACAGATGAGCTCAGAAATACACAGCAGATCTGGGTCTTTGTAGTCTTCTTGCCATTTACTGTTGTGTGGGAGCAGCAATAAACCTCCCCCCAAATCAGGAGTCATTCTCTTTACAGAAATAATAGACTAAAAATAAGTTGATGAACAGATCTTGTGAAGCTGCTCATTTGTTATTATTTCATCATTTGAGATGAAGAAGTATCGGTGTCCCAAACAGATGGCGTCTGACACGCGTGTGTTTATCCCAAAATTTACATTTTCCTGCAGTTCTCAACTGCCTGCTTTCCATATGCAAATTAAGAGTTGTAAATATGGAAGAGAAGTAGTAGAAAAATTTAATGAGATGTAAGAGCCCCAAAGTGACAAGTCAGCACCGTGGAGATGAGCTTTGGTGTACTTGGCTTTACTGTTCCTGTGTTTCGGCATTGGAGGTGTCACAACTGGGAATTCAGATTGCCTTGAAAATTCCTGGCCTTCACTGCAAGTGAAACATTGGATATGGAGCAAGGAAGTTCATCAATATGGAGATATTGGATGCAGAATGATGGGGTTCACCAAGATGAGGTTCATCAAAGTGGAGATATCGGATATGGAACAGTCAGGTTCACCAAGCTGAACATGAAAATAATGGCTCCAGAGTCTGGTATTTCAAAATGTCACCATGTATCTGATAAAGTGGTGAGGAAAAAGAGGCAGGGGAAATGTACATCTTTAGTTTAGAGATGCACATAAAACAGATCCAGATCTTAAGTGTAAGGAATCTCCCTAAATTCAGGCCATTTAAAATTCCTTCTGTTTACTTTGCAGAGAAAGCAAGCCCAGTTCTATGAAAACATTGTGAAAGTGATAAGACCAAAACCAGACTATTTTGCTGTTGGATACTATGGCCAGGGATTCCCAACATTCATAAGGGTAAGTGTCCACTTTCTTCCATAGAGGTCAACAAGCTTTCTTGCTCTGGAAATTTCTCTGGGTTGTGGAGAAAACTATCTGACATCGGCAGTTGTTTTTGGATGTATAAAACAAGCCCTGATTTTCTTTTCCAGTTTTTGTTATGGTGTAGTTGAATTTTAGTAGAGATTTTCTTTTTTCTTCAAACATATCCAGTACTTTCTATTTCTTCAAGTTATAACTAGAAATTAAGATACGTCACCCAGCCCGTCACTCAGGGTCGTAACCAGCACCCTCTGAAATGGTGACATTCTTGCCTGATAGGTTATATACATATATATATATATATATGGGTATGGTAGAGAAGCCTTTTGTATGTGACCCTGTTTTCATGTCAGAGTCCTTTCCAACATGTTCACTAAAATGAAGTTGACTATCAGAGGTGTGTGAAACCTTTAATTACAATCTCTTATCATTGATTTGCCTGTGTCATGTGTCAATTCAAAACATATGTCACTTGGTTGATGCCAGGGATGTAGTTTTAGTGGCATTTCAGATTTTTTTCCCACTAAAATCAGGATTTTTATGGGTTGAATTAGTGGCTAATAAGAGTGGGGATTTAACACTTCTGAATTGCATCTGTATCATGATCCTCTGGCAGTTGGTGAAGGGGAATCACCCGTTAGTTATTTACTCAACTTTTCTGGGCAACCTGTGCCAGGGCCTCACCACCCTCATGGGGAAGAATTTCTTCCCAATATCCCATCTAATCCTGAGCTCTGTCAGGAGCACAAAGCACAACCTTCCCTTTAATTGCTGTGATCAACAACCAGCAGGAGACCAGGCAGAGCAGTGTTAGTCTGATATATTAATATTAAACTGCTTTTTCTCCTCACGACTGAATGGGGGCTTTGTAAGTTCAGGAAGACACTTATAAGAGCCTTGTGGATTGGTCAGCTTATAATAAATGAGCAATAAACCCCCTGAAAAACAGGCTATTAAGTGCCTTGCTAATTGAGAAAATCTTAAATTCAAGCTTTTCCTTCTATTCCAATATTCCTTCTGAATTACAAGTGTATATACATGAATTACACTTATATAGAAACTTCTTAGGCATCTGTTATTACCATTTTTTCCCAACTTGAGAGTATTCTTTCATCTGCTGAGCATTTCAAAAGGCACCATTGCAGAATTAAACCCAACTGGGCAAATGGAAGCTATTCCAGGTTTCTACCCCGAGTCATAACACCCTTTTTTATTAAGTGCTGTATAATTTTTTCACCAAGTGCTCACTTTGAGATGAATAATGAGGTTAAGCATATTCAGATGCAAATTTTATCCAAACTTACTTTAATATGTTTGATCAGTTAAAAATGTGCATCGTCTTTTGCGTTTTTCTTTCAAATTGAATTAAATCAGCGTAGAAAGGGACTGTGTAAATGTCTTAATTTTCTTTATTGTTAAAAACCCCCCAATACTTATGAATAGAAAACACCTAATTTTAAAGTTATGCTGTGTGCAGACAACTTAACAAAGGCAAAAAAATGGCAAAAATCTAATACACAAATATGAAGTCTGTATCGGTCTTTCTAGAAGAGTCAGTATTTTTGAATCTTCCTCCTCAAATTGGCATAATTTTATGTTTATATTTTTCTCTGCTACTCTTGCTTGCTCACCTCAGTGCTTTTTCATATTTTTTATGTATGAAAAGCCTAATTCAGTTTATGTGCCTGCATTCCACCATTAGCTGAGGAAGGTGGAGGAGAGGATTTACAGAGGGAGGTCTGAGATTTGGTAGAAATGATTTGTCTTAATATATTTTCAATGGCCACCAATTTTATAGCTTCTTGAGATCACGTTTTAGTTGATTTTAGTGTGGTTTATACATATACCTAAAGGTAAGTGTGTGCTTAATGATCTCAGCGCTGAATTGGAGGCAAGAAAACCCATTTGTGCTTTACTGAGCCGGCATAAAATATTTGTAAACTATTGATTGTACCACTGTGTGGGGAATGGGAAATTCCTCGCTTAACAGCGCTGGAGTCAGCGCTTCTGGGATCCCAGGTCCTTACTGAGGCTGCTGGTTTTAGCAGGATTTAATGTGTCAACTTGTTTCCAGAACAAAGTGTTCATTTACCGGGGCAAGGAGTACGAGCGACGGGAGGACTTCGAGGCGAGGCTCTTGACTCAGTTCCCCAACGCGGAGAAGATGAAGACGACGTCACCGCCGGGCGATGACATCAAAAACTCCTCTGGCCAGTGTATCCTTGGGCTGCACCCTGGGCACAACCGTGTGTCCAACAGCACAGGGCAAGGATTTCTGGACTGAGGGAGCACCCTTGTGGGTGACCTAGGGGTCCTGATCAGTGGCCAGTTGTCCACGAGTCAGCAGTGCCCTGGCAGCCAGGAGGGCCAACCCTGTCCTGGGGGCATCAGGGACAGCATCACCAGCTGGGCCAGGGAGGGGATTGTCCCACTCTGCTCTGCCCTGGGGCAACCTCACCTGGAATATTGGGGTAGTTTGGGGTGACACAGTATAAGGAAGATGTTGAGCCATTAGGGAGTGTTCAAAAGAGGGCGATGAAGATGGTGAAGGGCCTTGATTTGAAGCCATGTGAGGACACTGAGGGCACTTGGTGTGTCCAGCTGGAGAAGAGGAGACTGAGGGGAGACCTCATTGCAGTTACAACTTCCCTAGGAGGGGCAGGCACTGAGCTCTGCTCTGTGGGGACCAGGGACAGGACCCAGGGAATGGCCTGAAGTTGTGTCAGGGCAGGTTCAGGTTGGATCTCAGGAAAAGGTTCTTCCCTCAGAGGGTGGTTGGGCACTGAACAGGCTCCCCAGGGCAGTGGGCACAGCACCAAGGCTGACAGAGCTCAAGAAGTGTTTGGATGATGCTCTCAGGGACGTGGTGTCGCCCCTGGGAATGATCCTGTGTGGAGCTAAGGATTGGACTCGATGATCCTTGTGTGTCCCTTCCAACTCAGCATATTCTGTGGTTCTGTATAATACATGAATTTTGTTGTTCCGTCTTTTTTTTTTGTGTTCCTGTTGAGCTGCTTGTTCTATGTAACTTAAATTCACTTTTTACTTCTTAACTCCCAAATTCAGATATTCAGTGTTTTACTGTAAAGCCAAAACTGGATTTACCATCGAAATTTCACAGGCCGGTGTCAGAGCAAATCATGAGGTGAGTTTGGGGTGGTTTTGTGATTTTATCAGTCTCCTTTATAACAAACTGGTTCTTGTTGTATAATCTATACAAAGCCAAGGAGAGTGGTAATGGTGAGGACATTTCATGATAATTCTTAATATTGGTAGAGATTCCATCCAACCCACTGGAAAACAGTGACCCCATAAGCATTTTATATCTATGCATAAACTTGTTCTAATACTAGAGTTTAGTAGCAATTCCTAAACAGAGGGCGTTTGATTTTCATTGTGCTTTTGGGAGTTGGAACTAGATGGTCTTTGAGGTCCCTCCCAACCCAAACCATTCTGTGATTCCATGATTCTTTTCCTTTCTTCCAGTTTCTACAGGGTGAATGAAGTCCAACGTTTTGAGTATTCGCGTCCCGTTAGAAAAGGAGAGAAAAACCCAGACAATGAATTTGCGGTAAAAAATATTAAAGAACATAGACTAAACTTTGGGTTGGATTGTTTATTCTCCTCTATTTTGAGCATCTGAACCATTCATTATCTTTTGGTTTCTGAAAAATAAATTCTAGGTTTAAAGTGATTATTTTTTCTAGAAGTTCAATTAAACCTATTTGTCATGTTCTGTTTTATACCAATAGGAAAAAAATGGGCAAAGCTGAATTTACAGCTGTTTTGAGAAAGGGTTTTAAATTTCTACACCTAAAACAATAGATGTGTCTTACCAAAACTTCCCTTGCCACAAAGATTCCAATCAGGGATTTAAAAATCTTCTTTCACTAATACCTTTTTCTTTTTTTTTTTTTTTCATTTTTTACTAAAGCACGTGTTTAATGGTCAATAAAACTCCTTCCTTGTGAGGGTGGTGAGGCCCTGGCACAGGTTGCCCAGAGAAGCTGTGGCTGCCCCATCCCTGGAAGTGTCCAAGGCCAGGTTGGACAAGCCTTGGAGCAACCTGGGCTAGTGGAAGGTGTCCCTGCCCATGGCAGAGGGTGGAACCAGATGGGCTTTAAAGTCCCTTCCCACCCAGGCCATTCTGGGATTCTGTGAACAATAACAGTCCAGTAAAACCAGTCGATCTTTCCCATAGCTTTCTCCTTTCATAAGAGCAGTTGTTCTCTGCTAAGTCACATCTCAGTTATAAATCAGTGCTGCTGCATCTTCCCCACAAGCAGATACCATTTGAAATTCCCCCCTTGGCTTTGTAACATCTGTCGTGCTGTGGTTCTTTTTCCTGGTGAGAATGTTTTAAGGCTTTGCTTGAGTTCAGAGGTGTCCATCTGATAACATGGGGCTTCTGTTCCATTTGCAGAACATGTGGATTGAGAGAACCATCTATGTGACAGCCTATAAATTACCGGGGATTCTGAGGTGGTTTGAAGTCAAATCGGTTTTCATGGTAAGATCAATTCAGCTGTATTGAGATTGCCTAAAAAAATGGGGGGTTTGTAGAGCCAGGGAGCATTTCTGTGTCTGTGTGACTGTGCTTGAGTTCTGTGGACAAGGAGGAATTGATGGGACTGTGCCTGGCACAGTGTGGCTCAAACTGCCACACACCCTAAGGGGAACCTGCTGATTGTTGTCTGAGGGGGACTCAAGGAATGCTTTGCCATTCCTGAGGGAAGGGAATGCAGCCAGCTCTCCTGGGCCTTTAGGGCAAGGACTGATTAAGTTCTTGAGCACTTTTATAAAGTATTTGTGGCTCCCAGCAGGCCAATACAGCCCTCTTCATTTTAGGCAACCCAAGGTGGTGTAGGGGAACCCTGCCCCATCCTAATGAATTAAGCCGGAATTTTATAAAAGAGGATTTGGGTATTTTGATTGTCATTTATCCAAAATATACCATAAATCAAATGCATTGTATGTGTCTGCTTTTCTCACCATTTGTGATTAAAGGTTGTTTTTGTTTCTTCTCCACATTTGGCTAAATATACCCTCGGCGACCTCACAGAGTAACTCCAAATTACTCATTTCTCTGTTCAACCATTTAGACTGTTTAGATAAGACATATCCATTAAACGCCTTTAAGATTAAATTATTCTTACACAGCTGTAATTTTTAAGGAGCAATAAAAACATTGTTACTGCGGTTTTTAAATCTCTCTTGTGAGGCTTATTTTTAAAGGAAAAGAACAATTTGCATATGATTAATTAAAACCTTTTTCATTGCTCCATTGAGGTTATGTTGGACAGTTGTATTTGGATGAACAGAAGTAATGCAGAAAATTACTATGGTATCTATAGTAACAGAATATGAATGTGATGTGTGACAGTAATAGGCAGCTGAATAAAACACATTGAATTTTTAATGAATTTTGTAGTTTCAATATAATCCTGATGGAGGAGATTGTATTTAACCTCTTGATTGCAAAAAGTGTTGCTTGGAAAGGCTGGCAAACATGGTGAAAGTCTCTTTTCCTGATGAGCCCAGAGCAGAGCCTGGCAGGCAGTTTGTGTCCACACACCCCTAACTCTCTGCTTGGCATCCAAATGGGCAGAAATCCTGGGAGATTTGGTGAGTCAGGATTATATTAGTTGCACAGCTGAAAAATGATACCAGAATGGAACTTCATACTAAGTGGGAAGACAGCTATAGATAACTTTTGACCTCCTCTGGCTTAGTTACTACAAAATAGGTATTGACTTTCTGCGAGATCCCTGTCAGCTAAAAAGCTGGGAGTGGGATCATGAGGTTACATCCCTGTAATGCTAAATTGTGATTATGGATACAGATATTATTGATCTTTTACTAAGCACCAAGATATTCAAGCAGCTTTGCACGTTTCATATTTTATTGATGGAACTGGGATGTCTTTAAAGGAAGAGGTGAGATCACATCAAATCAGTACTGGGAGAACTGAGTAATTTAATAAATGCAGTGTATTATGTTACATAACCCATAGGAACATGCAGAATTGCCTTAAATCTATTGGCTTTTAAAATTCCTTCTGAGTACTTTTACCTAAACCTTTTCAGTCTGTTCATTATTTGCAAGAAATTTGTGGCCCACATTCATTATTCTGTATCTGATTTGGTTTAGCTGGACACAAGTAGCTGTGGGGGAAAAAAATTTGCTGAGGCCAGCCAGTGAATTACAAAACTGGATTTGGACTCACACTTGATTTTAAAAAGCACAAATTCTAATCTCTGTTTTGTTTTTATCTTGTAATTTTGTAGTGGTGCAAATGTATCAGGAAAGTATGTAATTCCTGGCCCAGAGTGAGCAAACTACTGGAAGAAGGCTCATAATTTACACGTGTAATAAATAGCTTTCAGTAAGTGCCAAAGCCCAGTTTATAGTAGTGGGAAGTGCAATTCTCCATCTGCTTTTAAAAAAGTAGAGGGAGGGTTATAAGAGTAGTAAAAGAAAGGAGAATGAGAGAGAAAGAAAGCCATGATTGCTGCTGCAGAAGAGTCAGAGAAGCTCTGTCAGCTCAATGAGTGCTAATTTCTGTCGATGCTCAAGAGCTTTAAAAGCAATGGTTCATCAACACATTATTGCATAATTACAAACCCATTAATACAAATGACAGAATCCTAAATTTAGCCTGTAATGTTCACAACAGTTCTTGATCTGACACATCTTCAGATGTGGAATATGGCTTTACTGTCACAGTACCAACTTCCCCCGTGGCACATTCAGCTCTGTCCAAGCCTGGACTGCTCCCTGTTCCCAGCAGAAATATCAGGCTCCTTCCCTGCCTTCCAGAATAATTCACCAGGCAGGCTGCTAAAAATGCTAATTAAAACATCCTTGATGTAATCAGCTGGCAGGTGTAAGAGTAACAACTAAAGAGATTTGATTATAAGTGGTTCTCAGAAACAGGGTAAGCAACTGATAGCCAGGTAGAAGCGCTGCTTTGTTTATGTAGCATTTATGTAAATGAGGGTGTAATCAAATATACACTTGCATTTTCCTCACAGGCCTCAATTAACCTTCCCTTTCTCTTCCTACCACATCATCTTTTTAATATAAACAGGCTGTGTCTTCCAGTGAGGACTGTCTACACTCTGGGTCACTGCAAATTAGTAATTTTTAGCCCGTTCACTAATACTTAAAATATTTTAATTCTGGGGTTTTTTTCAACATGAACAACTGTCATTCTGAAAGACACAGTTTCTGGGCATCAAAAAAATAGCTGGAGATCAGTCAATTAAAATAAGCAAGTTTTAGGCAGTGTAAGAGCTAATTCACTCCATGAAGACATCTGAGGAGTTCTCTTCATTGAAGTCCAGGCTGTGGGAGAAAGGAAATGTCTCCCTTCAGTTCTCGACATTCTGATGAAGAAAATGTGACCTCGTGGGAATAAGCCCAGCAGATTGCTTAGATGTCATCTCTTCAACATATTAAACTTGATGTCCTTGGAAATACACCAAAATAATCACTGCAAAAATATCTCCTTGATTTTTGAGCTGCTTAGGATTACATTTTCCATCAGAAAATCCACGTTAGAGTTATCATTTCTTTCTTGCTGTTAACGTTAAGCTGGATCTTCTTTGTGCTGCTAAAACTCACCGGCCCTTAATCTCTGATGTTCTCCCTAATCCTCCAAAAACCTCACGTGGTTCCTGCCAGAGCCTTTCTAAATGTTGTGCTGGGTTGTAATCCATCCTGCAGCAGCAAAATGCATTTAACTTTCTCCACTGATACTGATCATCACACCAGTTACCTCAGTGTAGAGATACCAAATATCTCAATGCCTGAAATCGTCCTTTCTGATAATTACTGGTCAAAAATCATAAATCCTGAAATTCCTGAAGTGTTTCTAATTGTGATGGTTTAATGAACAGCCAGTTTAAAACTCTGCTCCTGGGTTAAAACCTTTTGGTTTGATTTTAGGTGGAAATCAGCCCACTGGAAAACGCAATAGAGACCATGCAGTTGACCAATGATAAGATCAATAACATGGTTCAGCAGCACTTAAATGATCCAAACCTGCCCATCAACCCCCTCTCGATGCTGCTCAACGGCATCGTGGATCCCGCAGTCATGGGAGGCTTCACAAACTATGAGAAGGTAAGGGCAGAATTCCCTGTCCTGCAGTGCCTCAGCTGGGCCCCAGCACGGGAAGGGCATGGATCTGTTGGACAAAGTCCAGAGGAGGCACCAAGATGATCAGAGGGATGGAACAGCTCTGCTGTGAGGAAAGACTGAGAGAGTCGGGATTGTTCACCTGGAGAAGAGAAGAGAAGCTTTGGGGTGACCTGATTGTGGCCTTTCAGGAGCTGAAGGCAAAAGAAAGTTGGAGAGAGACTATTTACAAGGGTCTGGAGTGACAGGAAAAGGGGGAATGGCTTCCCACTGCTACAGGGCAGGGTTAGATGGGGTATTGGGAAGGAATCCTTCCCTGTGAGGTTGGGGAGGCCCTGGCACAGGTTGCCCAGAGAAGCTGTGGCTGCCCCATCTCTGGAAGTGTCCAAGGCCAGATTGGACAAGCCTTGGAGCAACCTGGATTAGTGGAAGGTGTCCCTGCCCATGGCAGGGGGTGGGACTGGATGGGCTTTAAGGTCCCTTCCAATCCAAACCATTCTGGGATTCTGTGATTCCCTGATTTTCACTTTGGAACTGTTACTGCTATTTTGCAGAACTTTTGGGTCCATTCATTTATCTTTGCTGTTTTTCATTCTTCTGGCAGCAGATGTTGATCCATTTTCTAAAATTACTGCTCCTTTCTCTCCATTTAACAGGCTTTCTTTACTGAAAAATACATACATGAGCATCCAGAAGATCATGACAAGATTGAGAAGCTGAAGGATCTCATCGCTTGGCAGGTAAAAAATTTGAAGTTGGGATGGTCAGAGCCAACTGCTGTGGAAAGGCAGCTTAGTGTCACTTTGAGAAAATCCAGACCTTAAACTCCTCACCCTGGATGCACTTCTTTGCCATTTAAATCCACCTTGGAACTTGAGCTAAAGTGCATCTTTTCAAATATGCCATCATTTCTCATTTGATGAACCTACAAGGAACAAACATGGTCAGCCTCTTTTTCTTTAATTCCTTTTTTTTTAATAACCATAATACAGTGAAAATCTCCCATCTGTATCAAATGAAAAGCATTTTTCAGGGCAAACAAGAGGCAATCCAGTTTTGTTGCATAGTCACATACTGGACATTTTCCAGTGGTCTCAGGATAATTTTATGATAAGTACAAAAATACCAATATGGTTGGAAATGTTTTTCCCCACAGAAGAAGAAAGTGAATCATTGTCTTTTTATATTCAATTTGGTCTTTATAACAAAGGGAATAATTTACATTCCTGTAGGTTTCAATCTTAGAGGTGATAGAACCAAAGCTACAGAATTCAAAAACAAAATATCCTCTGAAGGCCATAAAACTATCAGTGAATAAAAACTCTTTTGGTCTGAAAAAAAATATGCATTTATTAATTTATTTTCTTGTGAGCTTTTACAGAAGATTAGATTTTTATAGGCTTTAAGTTTTCTAGAGGAAAATAATTTGGTCCCAGAAGACTGACTTGGTGTCAGCTCTCTGAGAGTGATACTTCAAATGAATTTACAAACACACTTTTCCTCAGCAAAGATGCACTTTGGTGGCATTTGTGTATTAAAATAATATTGCAATTTGGAAATATATATGGCAGCTAATCACATTGAATTTGAATTATCCAGTGCTTTTAAATACATGGTTTCCCATCAGTTTTGTAGTTGCAAAACAATAGGAACCAGAAAAATAGAGAGAAGGGATCGAAAATCATTTTTATATCTGAAAATTCTTGTCACTAAAAGCCCTTTCCATGCTTTTAAATGTTTGATATACATTTGGGGTATCCTCAAATTTAAACTTCCTCTCACAGTATTTCAGTTTTCAGCACACAGGGTTGGATTTGACTCCCAGGTATTGGCTGGTGTTGGGAGAGGGAGGTGTGGGGAAGCTTTGGAAGGGAGGCAGGGGCTGAATTCATCACGGGCTGACAGTGATTGAAAGCAAAAATGAGTTTTCATTTTTCGCTAATGTGGGGCTTGGAGTTTGTAATCACACAGAGATTTTCTCAGTGCTGTATAAATCAATCTGGAGATATGAAATAGTAGGAACCTGACAATCCCATTATCAGCTGACCACTTAAATTTAATTTTTTACCGTGCCCTTACCTCTTTCTCCATCGAGCTGTGGAATTCATGCTCCTCAGGATATTATCCTCTTATAAGTCCTGTGAACTTTTAATACACATTTTGGTTCTGTCTATTATTAATCCAGATAAATACCATTAGAAAAACACCGTTTTCATCCAACTTGGTGCTTTTCCAACTTAGGAAAAACTGTTCCCATGCAACTGCACCACATCAAGCTGATCTTTTATTTTAACATGAGGATAATGAAATGGTTGATTGAAATTAAGGTAGTGAAATGAATGATTGATGACATTTAGCTAATGTATTTACAGCACAGCAAAACATAAAAATACCATGGCACATAAAAATCTTGTGCTGCTTCTGCAGAGCTGAAAGAACTGCTGCATGCCAAAAATGTTTTAATGATCATATTTTATGATATTTCATATTATGAAAGATTGTCTTTTAAGATTAATAATTCAAATCAATGTTGGGTTTTCATTCTTTTCAACCAAGCAGATCAAGATTTTTTTAAAAAGGAAAAAAAAATCGGGGAATAATTTAAAGTTGCAGTGGAGCTTGATAAAATTTTAACATCAGGAAAGAGGAGAGTTATGAAATAAATAAATGCTGTCTTGAGCAGGTTTCCTCTCTCATTCACCTCATTCATTTCTAGCTCTGCTGCTTCCACCACTTTTGCATTCACCTCTCCAAAGGTGAGGGACACCTTGGATGGTCTTTTGAAATAGAGCCTTAAGCAAGCCCAGCCCTTTCTCCAAAGCGACAAACATTGGCAATACCATGAATGTGGCAAAATTATCTCTCTATTGAAGATTCATGTTGGTTTAAAATTCCATGTCACTCATCTCCACATTTCCCTGTGTTAATGCCTGGAAAGGCATGTTGGAAGAATTTTGAAGTAGGTAGAAGGTGGTGAAGCAGAAACGGTAAAACAGTCAGAAGGTTCTTCCTGCACTTGATAATTGTTTCAAGGATTAAGTGGTCTTGGACAGGGAGACCAAATATCCCAACTCAGCGGGCTCACAGTTGTTCTGTAGCAAAGCCATGGAAAGTTTATTAAATTTCAGGTTCTGTTAAGGAACAGCTTTTCTTTTTCTTCTTTTTCTTCCTTGTCTTCTTTGGTTTCTTCTTGTTCTTGTTCTGCTCCTGCTGCTGCTTTTTCTTCATCTTTGTCATCTTTTTCTTCTTCTTTGGCTTCATCTCCTTCATCATCTTTGTCTTCTCCTTTGTCTCCTTCTCTTTTCTCCATTCTTCTTCTTCTCTCTTCTCCTTTCTCCTTCTTCTACATATTTTTTCCTCCTACAAATATTGTCATTTAGTTCATGATGCTTGATTTTCCAAATTGGAGGTGGCTCACCCCTGGGACAGGCTCCTTAGAGCATTTTCTCCTCATAAAAATGATCCCAGAGCTGAAACTTCAGACCTCACCTGTGCTTCACCTCGGTAATTCCATTTTTTTAAAAAAGATTCCGTTTAAAAGGTCAACAGGTTCTTTGAAATGAATGAGCCAGGTGACCACTCACCACTCCAACACAGGAGGGTCACAGTGTGGCCTGATAATTATGAAGATTTATAAATTCATTTACTTACTCAGAGCAAGGGAACTTTCTGAAATTAATGTTTATTTTTTATCGAGTTCAAATCCATGTGGCTGTAAATAAAGTGACTATGTTAAAAAAAAAGTCATTATTCTTCCTTCTCTTTGTAGTCCATTTAAATAGTGCCAAATCCCAGAGAATCGTCTCGATAAGATTCCTTGAGTTTGTTCATCTGTAATTCATCTGTGTATTTATTATTCTCCTTACTAATAAAGCTGTTCCCTCTGATTGCTGCTCAGTCTTATTAGAAAAATCTGGGTTTAATCAGTATTATGATTTAATTATGAATTATTAAGGAGAAGCCTCTTAGCTTGATTGCTGCAGAGAATATCTAAGTTAGAATCAGAGCACTGTGTGGGCTGGAATGGACCTGGAAGAGGAAATATTTTTCCTGAGCTGGAGGTAGAAAACTCTATTGGTGTGTCTGCATAGCTGTGGGAATGAAAATATCTCTCTTAAAACATTTCCAAAGGTCAGCTACACCTCCACACTTTGAACTAATTATGTAATCCTGGGCTGGCGTGGATATTTTGTGACAGAAACCTTGAAGACAAATTATTGTTTTCAGTTACAGAAGAAATTAGTGTAATTTTTTTCCTCTTCTGTTTTCTTCCCATAGAAAATAAAATAATTTTTCTAAGGAGAACTATATAGATAGTTTTATTAATCAGTATTGCTCTGCAATATAGATCTGGCCAAGGATGTAGCTCATCTGCAGGTTTAGAAGAAGCTTTTATTAAAGAAAACTTACAACTATTTTCCTCTTTAAGGTTTTATTCTCATGAAACTGGGAAAAGATTTGATTTTATTGACCCGGTGTGACACTCATCATTCCTCAATTTGCCATTTTATAGTGTAGAATGTATGGGAAGTTGGGAATAGGACATCACAGGAGGGTTTGTGCTGTCTGGTAAATCCAGCTTGGCCTCCAACGTGAGATTTCTGGGAAGAACTAAGGGTGTATTAAATTTAAAGGATTTTGATTAACAGAGAAGATGGGAAATCATGAATAACAGATTTTTAGATCTTTTTTATTGTATTGTGTCTCATACAATGAATGATGATGATTACTGTGATGATAATATAATCCTTCTTATTGTCATCTTAATATTATTTTTAGTTTTAATATCGTTTTTATCTTTATGCTTGTCATTATTATAATTTTTTTTTTAAATTTTTACTGTTGTTGTTGCTATTATTATTGCAATTATTACTATTTCAGTTATTATTCCATGAGATCTTTTACTCCCATGTGGGAGTCCTGCCCTAACTCTTCCCTTGGGAGGGACTGGGCAGGGTGAAACAGCCAAACTCTACCTTCCAGATCCCGTTCCTGGCGGAAGGCATCCGGATCCACGGGGAGAAGGTGACAGAGGCCCTGAGGCCATTCCATGAGAGGATGGAGGCTTGTTTCAGGCAGCTGAAGGACAAGGTGGAGAAGCAGTACGGGGTCCGTGCTGTGGTGAGTACCTCCTGGTTTCATCTTCCCTTAATAGGTGGAATTCCTTTAAATGACAGCCACTTGTGTATTCCTGTGCCATAACTCCCCCTGGTTAAAAAAGCCATGTCGATAAAGCATTGCCTGGTTGTTCGCAGTGGTCATCAAATTATGAAATACTGAGAGGTGATAGGAGATGTAGAAAAAGCTTTGGGGCTTCCATTTCTGAGCGTGGGAACAATTTCTAAATTGCCTGACTCTGTTCCTTAAAAGTCAAGGCAATTCTTCAATTTTGGGATTTGGGTTACAAAAATACATTAAAAAATTGCCACTTAACATGATTCTTTGAGAGCTGAATGTCACCTTTTCATAGATGTGATTCCCTTAGGGATGGGAGGGCTGTGCAATCAATGTGTCCTCTGGCATCACCCTAAATGTGGGCAGGCATTAAACAATAACTCCTACTTAATGAGCTTTAGAAGGACTCAAATTCATGCTTTTCTCACTCCAACAAACCGTTTTCAGTTGCTGCTTCATCTTCAAGGTGCAACCAGAATTTGGTGATGTTTCCAGTGGGAGTTTGTTCTGCTTTTGAGCATTACCCAAGGTGGAGGAAGGCCAAAAACCAGCAAACAGCTTTGTAATTGAGAATAGAATTGATAATTCAGTCAAAAGCCACATGGATTGGGTGGTATTGGATGATCACTTTTACCTGAGGAAAGAAGGCTCAGGGGGGGCCTTCTCACTCTCTGCAGCTCCCTGACAGGAGGGAGGAGTTGGGGGGGGGCTCAGGCTCTGCTCCCAGGGAACAAGGGACAGGATGAGAGGGAACAGCCTCAAGCTGTGCCAGGGGAGGGTCAGGTTGGACATCAGGAGGAATTTCTCCATGGAAAGGGTGGTCAGGCATTGGAAGGGGCTGCCCAGGGTGGTTTGGAGTCCCCATCCCTGGAGGTGCCCAAGGAGTGACTGGATGTGGCACTCAGTGCTCTGGGCTGGGTGACAAGGTGGGGATCGGGCACAGGGTGGACTCGATGACCTTGGAGATCTTTTCCACCCTAAATGATCCTGTGATTCTCTGATTCTGTCCGTAGCAAGGACAATTTTTTTAATAGGAACATTGAGATCTTACAGGGAACATGCCAGCCTTCGTGGTATCCTTGCAACTGGTGCTCCATTCGTGGTCCTTCAAATCCCATCTAAAATATTTAGGAAAATGTTCAAATAGTGATTTATTCCCTAGGAGAACAGGAATAATCAACATTAATGATAGTTGCATGTCAGTCACTTCAATAATATAATATCCATTTACATCATGAGGGAGATGACTGGAAAGTCATACACAGGTGGTGTTATCTCTAATTTCACTCAACCCACAGGAAGAATTGTCAGCATTGATGGAGTTTTATCGCTTCTGTCTTCCTTGTACAAAGCCAATTTACCAGTAGTTGACAGGGTGGAAAATATACCTGTAATTAAACAGCATGAGATTCTTATTTGTTGACTGAAAGAGTTCAATTATTTTATGCATATATCAGTTATTAATGACTAACAAAGCTTGGATAAATATTCAGAACTCTGAAATTGTCTGAAACAAAACCTAAACTTTAAGGTATTTTTTTCTAAAACTGGATGTCACTCTGTAAATTGACTCTCCTGACATTTTTGACATCAGGTTTCTCTTAGTGTGTTTTTACTTTGTGGGTTTGGGGTTTTTTTAAACTCCATTTCACTTAAATATGTTGACAGGGCAGTCTCTTTGATTGCAGAGATGGATTAAAAAAATATTTGTAGAAAGCTCCTTTTTAAAGACCAGATGTAAAAAAGCATTTAAATACCATTGAAATAAAGGAATTATGAATATGCTGAGTTGGAAGGGACCCACGAGGATCATTGAGTCCAACTCCTGGCCTTGCACGAGCCCATCCCCAGGAGTCACACCATGTGCCTGAGAGTATTCTTGAATTAATGGAATATGCTTAAAATTCCACATGTGCCCATGAGGACCTAAATATTTCTTCCTAGTCCTTTAAATAAATTTCCTTTACAATCTCTTTCTTAGTTGTTAAACACGAAGTATAAATATAATAGTATTTAATATATATTAAATAACACAAAACTCTACGTGGAAGGAAAGCCATGGGACCTTCCCACATTCCTTTTGGTAGCCAGATGGCAGTGATACCGTGGTTTAAGAGGTAAGATCTCGGGTTTCTTTCCCGCAGCTCTCCAGCCTGGAGGACAGGCGGGGCAGTCGGCCGCGCTCCATGGTGAGGTCCTTCACGATGCCGTCGTCTTCCAGACCCCTCTCCGTGGCATCCGTGTCTTCCATCTCCTCAGACAGCACCCCCTCCCGGCCTGGCTCTGATGGGTGAGTGGGAAATGCTCACCCAGGGCTTATCCTTGGGTTTGGAGGCTTGTCATCATCTCCAGATCTCTGGGCTGTCATGGTGTTACTCCTTCCGATCCTCCTGACTCCTCCTGTGTGGCGGCAGGACGTTTGTTTGGCCTCAGACGTGTAAGGTTTTTGGTTGGGTTGTTTCCCAGTGAATTTTATCCCAGATTTGGTTCATAGTTTAATAATACTCTGCGAACTAGAGTGGGGTGGGGGCGATTTTCTACTGAGTTGGTCATAGGGCTGGAGCACCTCTGCTGTGAAAACAGGCTGAGAGAGCTGGGATTGTCCAGCCTGGAGAAGAGAAGGCTCTTCCAGTGCCTAAAGAGGCTCCAAGAGAGCTGGAGAGGGACTTTGAACAAGAGCATGGGGTGACAGGACAAGGGAGAATGGCTTTAAACTGCCAGAGGGCAGGGTTAGATGGGATATTGGGAAGGAATTCTTCCCTGTGAGGGTGGGGAGGCCCTGGCACAGGTTGCCCAGAGAAACTGTGGCCGCCCCATCCCTGGAAGTGTCCAAGGCCAGGTTGGACAGGGCTTGGAGCAACCTGGCCTAGTGGAAGGTGTCCCTGCCCATGGGAAGGGGTGGAACTGGATGGTGTTTAAGGTCCCTTCCAACCCAAACTTTCTATGATTTTTTAAATGCCAGCATAATATTAGGTAAAAACATCAGCCTATATAGACATTTATCTCAGGATATCCTGGTTTTTAACCAAGATAAATATAATACCCTTCTTTGTCCTTTTTTAAAAAGTGAAACAGAACCCCCTAAGCATTCAAACAAACAAAGAAAAAAAAAAAAACTAAAGAGGAGACAAATTACCCCTTTTAGAGTATTGCAAGTGTATTAGTGCAGCAGTGATCTTTGGAGTCAGTGATGAGGTGCTTGTGCAGCCAACCCTGTCACAGTACCCAGGTGGAGCTCAGGAGAAGGAAGGGATTAGTGAACTGCTCAATCACTGCTGCTCACTTTTGCTGCCAGAGGAAAAGCTGCTTATGGCAAGATTGTACTTCAAGACTTATCAAGATATTTCACATGAGAACTGGGAATTCTGTTGATAAGCCCTGTCTCACAGTCACATCCCTCAAAGAACAAAATAATCTGTTTGCTCTCTGGGCTTTCCATGCAGCCTCAGAAGTTCCTTCTCCTTCTTCCTGCCCCGAGGCATCCCTGTAATCCAGAAATGCAATATTTGACCTAGGCAGCAGTTTTTTAAAGCCTCCTGAAGGGCTGCTGACTTACAGGGATGTGCTAGAAATGTTCATGTCCCTCGTGCACCTTCAGAGGGGAGTTATTACCTGACTGGAGACTAAAAGCATCAAGTAAAATTAAATACAGCACCGAAGGACCAACGTGGTGCTGACCTTGATTACAAGTAGTTTATTTGCCCATTGGGAAGAGCTGCAAACAGAGCACAGTTCAGCCTCTAGAATGTATACACCGGGAGCCATGGTGGAAATGTAGGACAGCAGAGATGAGCTTGTGTTTTGACTAATTCAGCCACAAATTTGTCTTGCTGGAATTTAGAGGTAATAACCATCAAAGGTTAATGGGCAACTTTATTTTCTCTCAGAAGAAAAATACTGATTCTTTCGCTGCCTGACTCTACCTTTTTCTCTTTTTCCCTTCAAAATCTTTAAATGTGTTTTTCTTTCTAATTGTATATTATTTACTCAGGTTTCACCTCTCCATCTTAGCTTTGGTGCAGTAAGTCTCAGTTAGCAGTTTGGGAGGGTCTTAATATGTAAATACACACAAAGAGTCTACTCAGTTTGTATTTCTAAAAGCAACTCACAAAGATCCTGGTGCATCTCAGCTCCTGCTCCAAGCCCAGGGTGATACAGGAAAATATAATGAACAATTATTAGCATTGTGAAGATCTGAAGAAGTACTCATTTGCTTGGTCAGTGGAGCAGGAGAAAAAAAGTCATGAGATGTAAATGATACCACGAAAGACTCAAAAATTCGTGTCACTGTTAAATCATGTGGGAGGTTTGGCACTTCTCACCTCGAAGAAGTTCCTTCATGTACCTACCATAGTTGATTTGGTTTGTGGTCAGTTTTTCTCTCTGCTTTCCATGTCCCCCCTCTTCATATTTTAATTTTTAGAATAGAGATTAAGCTAAAAAAAACAATTAAAAATGAAGCCAACAGACTGTCTTGTCCAAATCACCCAACTTATATTTTATTTTATGCCATCTCCATCTCCTCCTGCTTTGGAGCTTTTAAACACTAAAGACTCAAGGCAGACACTGACATAGGATGTGTTTTACAACTCCCAACTCTAGGTATAAATAAAACTGACTTTAAAAAAGGACCTTGGGTTTATTCACAGCCTAAAACGGGACTTAGAAGTACAAATCTGAGCACTTACGCTCAGTGGTTGGAAGGGGGGAAGTCCCAGGGTGCCAGTGAGATTTGTCAGCTATTGCAAGTCCTGATGTTCTTCCAGTTAGAGCATGGTGTGCTGACCCATTTTATCATGGATACATTGCCTACAAATAATTAATAGCCCTAATAATAGTAATGCCTGGAAGGGAAGCAATTAATCATTGTCTGAAGAGTGGTAGTTCCTCTAGTAAACTTGCAATCAGCCTTTGAGGCTCTGGAACCGCCCTCCAACCCAGCCCAGCTTAGCCTAAAATATCCAACTCAGGTGGCTCAAAGGTGTTGGGAGAGCTGTTGGCTGCTCAGGGCTCTGTCACTGAAGTACTTTGTGGCCCTGGGTTCCCTGTCTGTAAAATGGGATGGATAAACCCTGTGGTTTTGTTCCCAACCTGTGTGATTTTGGCTTTGGTTCCGAGGGAAAAATGGCTCAGGGGCTGCTGCTGCAGGTTCTGGTTTGAGCATCTTCACATCAAATGAGATAAAGTAGGCTGCAAGCTGAAGGGCCTTTAGTGCTTCAAGTAACAGCCAAAAATAATAATAATTTGGGATATTGCTGCTGGATATTGCTGCTAGTGGAGGGGATTAGGATAATGTCACTGCAAATTGTCTGAAATAGGAATACTCTGCTATTTCACAGCAAAGACTGTGACCTGTACATGTCTCCCCATGAAATGGGAAATGCTTTTCCAATGTTAAAAAATGCCTTTGTTTGGGTATTTTTGGTTTGGTTTTGGTTTTTTAATGTGATGGTTGGAGACAATCTCTTAAAATCTGGCAGTGTCATTTTGTCTAGGTATGATCTTAGTGGCTTTTTGGCATTTATAATATAAAATAAATCATAAGATGGTTTGTCCAGCTACAAATGCCCCATCCCTGAAAGTGTCCAAGGCCAGGTTGGATGGGTTTTGGAGCAACCTGGTCTAGTGGAAGGTGTCCCTGCCCATGACAGGGAGTTGGAACTGGATGGTTTGTGAGGTCCCTTCCAACCCAAGCCATCTTGTGATTCTTTAACACAGTGTACAATTATCCACACTTTTAGTGCTGATTCCAGCTGGAATTTCCAACTGTCTGCCTGCTGGCACACCTGCCCTGGTGCCACAGCCTGGATAGTGGAAATGCTGAATGAGAAACTCATTTTTTACGTGAAACTCAGGAATTTGTGCAGCCACAAACCAGTAAATTCACTACAGAGCAGGGAAATCTGCACCACTGATTCTCCAGCAGTTCTGCAATGAATTTTATTGCAAGACAATTATGATTGTTATGACCTTCTGCCCCCTCCTTCTCTCTCTAATGAGTTTTCCTGGTTTAGCAGAGTCATTAACTGGAGGGAGACTTTGGGAAATATGTAAATAAAAATTAGTTGTTTTGAAAATAGTGTTTTATGGAGCTAAGCAACAATATTTTTCTTTAGGTTCGTGCTGGAGCCCCTCCTGCCAAAAAAGATGCATTCTAGGTCGCAAGATAAATTGGACAAGGATGACCTAGATAAAGATAAGAAGGAAAAGAAGAAGGAGAAAAGGAACAGCAAGCATCAAGAGATATTTGATAAAGAATTTAAATCTACTGATATTTCTCTGCAGCAGTCTGAGGCAGTGATCCTTTCAGAGACGGTAACTTTATTAGCAAGTGATGCTTTATCTAATTCTGAGCGGTGTCCTTTCTCTGTTGAAATAAAAATGTTGATTTTTATTATTTGTAGACCAGAAATAACTCTCAGGGAATACGTTTCAATGTTAATATATGTGATAATGAAGCAAAAATACAGATTTTATTTACAGTGTAAAAAGATCATATGGTACCTCATGTGAATATCTTAACCAAAAGCTATATGTGTCTATTTGATAAAGGGAGCAGATGGTATATCACAACTGAAATAAATGCTGCCATTTTAGCAGCCTTTTGAATTGCTGGTTCCCAGTAGATGGTGATGGGTTTTCTCTTATTTCAGCTGAGTGCTGCAAGACAGTTTAGGGTGGAAATATTCCAAGGTGACTCCTTGCACGGCGGTTGCATGTTCACGAAGGGTTATTTTGAGCAGAAAATTGTAAGCGGTTCCAGCGGTGGCTGTGTGTAAGAATATTAACAACAGGCCATATCTCCCTTAAACCCTCTCTTCTTGGCTTATATTTAATTCACTGAAACTGTCCTAAAGGCTTAGGTAACCTGAGAAGTTTGAGCTCTGAAAATGAAAGCAAAGCTAGAGCAGGGAGTGCATGAACCAACCGTAACCTCCAAATCTCTGCCTGGACACCTGTTTGGAGGCCAAGAGTTTAAAACTTGCCTCCCAGAAATAAATGTAATGTTCTTTGAAAGATTTGTGCAAGTACTTGTAGGCCAACTTTTCACTTAGCAGAGTCTTCCTTTGGTGGCTGTGTTATTTACACTGGACTTTGGAAATGATTTCTCTCTCATCTGTGGTAACTGGATCCTTTAAATCTTTCTGTTTGGTACTTGTGGGAGAATATTGTTTAGCTGTTCAGCCGCAGCTCCTTTGTTTTCTGGATTTGCTCCTCCTTTCCTATCCAGATAAATTAATCTCTCAGATGTGTCTTGTAACATCTTAGAAAATCAGAGTTGTTTTGTTTGATGTGGCCAGTCAAAAAACTCTGATCCCTTGTGGGGGTCTCGGGCTTTTCACCTTTGAAGCCAGTGAGTTTTTCCATTGACTAAATTTTGGATCAGCCCTCATTTGCTAAATGGAGATTCCTCCTGCCAAAGCCAGCCAGGTGAGCATCATTGCAGTGTTTGCAGACATTTTACATAGATTTCCATGTGTCTCATGTTTCTGACACGATGCCTTTGACTTGGCACCTTGCAGCAGTTGTGTTTTGACTGATTGAGCTCTGCCGTGGCAGGGCTTGAACTGGCATCTCCCAGACTCCCAAACCCACCAGCAGAGCTTGTGGGTGGAGAGCATTAGTCACAGAAGAGGAAAATGGTATTTCAGGGCAGCTGAGTCAGTTGGACCAGATGGGAGGCATCCAGAGATGCTGGGGTTGATGTCACTGCCAGGTCACTGTCATCTCAGAGAGGTCTTGGACATGGGCAAAGATTGCTCATGATTGGAAAAATGTAAATGCCATCTGGAAAGGAGGGCAGGATAACCCTCCAGGGCATATTCCCATTTGTCATCCGAGGAGCAAAAATCAGCAAAGCCCAACATCGTTTGACTCAAGTTTTCTCCTCTTTCCAGTCAAGAAGCTTTCGGTGCATGACTGCTGTGAGTAATATTCCCCTGGTTATGGAGAGGGAGGGAAGTTAAATGTCAGAACTGGTTACTTACAGTTACTTTGAGCTCCTTCAAATCCACAGATCAATAATATGAAAAGGAATTTACTGTTGAGAGAAAAACTCTCCCTTTTCAACATCTCCAAACTGCTTGATGAGCTCCAAAACGACTGAGTCAATTTTTAATGCCTGGTGTTAGCGAGGCTCATCTTCTCTTGTAGGTGAAAGAGAGGAATCACTCCTTTGAGATCAGTTTATCAGAGTGGTTGTCCAGTTCCCACTGCTGTCTTCAGGAATTTTGTACAAATAATATCAAGGACTTTAAAGATAAAATTTGTGTCAAAAGTTTCGCGCTCTGGAGACGTCCCTTGTTAATGGTATAAAGGGAAATTGTTATGGTGGGTAGGAATTCAGCTTTTCCATTGTTTAACGGTGATGTTCAAATTCCCTTTTTCGATTGAAATTATTCCCAAAGCACTGTTACCACTGTGTTGCAGGAAGAAAAAGACATTTTGGTTCCTCTTGCCTTGGGAACTTGGAAGCAGAAAGTTTGCTGAATTAAAAAGAGGTGATGAAATGGAGAGGGAAAAAAATTAGGGATTTTCTTTTCCCCAAAAAAGTTGCAACACAGATTTGACTATAAATGGAAATTAAAGATTTAAAGCGGTTTTAAAGTGAGATTTTAGTAATAAACTACTATTAGTTAGTAGATTTTATATTAGTTACTGGAGTCATTCTGCTGAGAATTTTAGAACTCATGGTACTATGGCTCATTCAATTACAATATTTCAGTGATTTGGTGAATTTTCTAACAGATTCTTGTTTCTTCTACAATATTTGGGGGGTTTACAGCAGAAGATGAATTTACAGAGAATATCAAGTGAGAAGAATGTCAGCCAGTGGTCACCCCATCTCTGCAGAGCTTCTGCTGCTTTTTCCAGGAATGGTGGTGTCTAATGAGATGAGTGTTTCCATCACTGCCATGGACTTATTTAGGAACTTCTTTTTTTCTAATCAAATGAATCATCATGGAATAACATGGGGATGTTGTAAAACTGTGGAATTATTTCATGGGGCTTTTACATGTGCTTTGAAAAGGAGCATTCAGAGGCTGTTTTCTCTAATTGTATGGCTTAAATACTCTTTTCTGAATTTCCAGTCAAAGTGAATTTATTGACTGATCAAACTCCCAAGCCCTAATTACATAAGATAACAAAGATGAATTAAGCACCTCAGTGTGTGACTATGATCAGTAATATCTTCATAGTTTTCTAGAGATTTATTATCTTCTTTTAAGTATCACATAAACTTCTTCAAGAAAAATTTTCTTTGCTAATTCTTTGATCCCACAAGCTGAGAGCAAAGCTAACACTGGAGCCGGGTAGTTAACAGAGCATTGAAGGCTTGTGTTAGAAATCACAATAACAGGCTGTACATCCCATTGATTTAGTGGTGTCTGACATCACTCACCATTGATCTTCCCTTCGTTAGACCAAAAAAAATTAGCCATGGGTCCATTATGGATTAGTGTCTCCGAAGGGTTCGTGTTCCCCAGCAGAACTGTGATTTATTGAAGCTTTCAGAAGAGGCCCAACATTGTCAATCACAGAAGAAGTTAAAATTTATTTAAGTAGCTACGGAGCAGGTTGACTCGGGAACGTGGTCCAGTTGCTGGGGTTTTTTTCTCTTGATTCTGGAATGTCAATTTTCCTCATCAATTCATGTGTTTTCCTTAGTTGCTTTTTTATAATTAGATACCTCTGAAAAAGCGATTACTTTGTTCATCCATTCTGCCGAAAGTATGCTTTGAAAGACCTCGAAAGAAGAAACTTTTGGAGTCTTTAGGACTTGAGTTTTCGTATCAGGCAAATTTCAGAAAGGTCACCCTGAGGTCTGGATGAACTTTCCAAAAAAACGTCCCATACTTTATTGTCATTCATTTCTTATAGAAGGGTCTTCTTTACGCAAACCCTTTTAGGGTTTGTCTTCTGGAAATAAAAGGAAGCACTTACATGTCATTTCAGATTTCTCCTTCACCACATAATTCATAAAAACCCCCATTGTGTAATGACAAAATTCTTCAAAAAAGCCTGAATTGCTACTGGCATTTTCTGGTTTGTCCTAATGCAGTACCTTTGGAGTAATTCCCCTCTGAACTTCAGGCTGCTGCTCCATTTTCTGGGATCTGTTGGAAATAAAACATACCCTTTTTCACTGTGATTACTGTTAATATGGGGGTGGGTAAATGCATAACATCAGTAGAGCTCAGGATTAAACTCAGGAAGAAGAATCACCTTAAAACTAAAAGCATTAGTTGCTCATCAGATTACAAGTATCATTTCAGGGTTTCTGATGGAAAATTTGAATGGACTATGAAGCGTCCAGAGCAAAAAAGGGATATTTCAGTGAATTAAATAGAAGCACTACCAAGAAAGTGTTTCTGGACAGATGATGTCTTCCTCAGAAGAGAGTTTCACCCTGCAAATGGTTAAAGAGATAAATTTTAAGAAGGAAGTAGAGCCACATGAGAAGAAAGAAAAGATTTTGAGGGACGGGTAATCTCGTGTAAGGCTGTAAACTTCCGTAGCTGTTACTAAGTGAGTGTTTGGGGAATTCAGATGGAAGTCGCAGAGCCTCTCACTGCTTCAGGAAAATATGCCAGGGTATGGGGAGGGGTGTTAACTTGTGATTCCTTGGGAGAAGGGGAAACACTTGGAGCTGTGAGATACTGCACTGAATCAGCAATATGGAGTGTTAGCATTGCCTGGTTGTGTTCAGGAGGAAAATGTAGCAATCCCAGGGTTTGCCACTCAGTTACCTGTATTTTTTTTTGTTGTCTCACTGGTTTTGTCCCCACCCAGATCAGCCCACTGAGACCCCAGAGACCAAAAAGCCAAGTCATAAACGTGATGTCCAGTGAACGGCGTTTCTCCGTGTCTCCGTCACCTCCCAGCTCCCAGCTGACCCCGCCCCCCATAACCCCCAGGACAAAGCTTTCCTTCACCATCCAGTCCAGTAAGTCTCTAATTTTAACTAACTTTCCTTTTCCTGGAAAAATTCTGGTCGAGAGACGTGTTTCCTCAGCATTTTATTGCACCTTGGTTTGAGCTGAGTGGGTAGAACAGGAACAAGAACTCGCCTCTTAACCTTGTGCTCCTTGACTTTGCCAACTAAAATTATTTCAATATTTTACAAAACCAAGCAAAATTTTTCCACTGAACAAGTTTGTTTTCAAGTTATCATTAACAATTATTTAGACGTAGAGTAACTATCAAAAATCAGTGTTCTGCTTGTTTCTATATAGGGTGTTTTAGAGCATAAAGACTCAAAAAGTCATTATTTTTTTGGGTAATTGTACCTTAAAAGAGCTTTTCTTTGATACATTGTGAGTACAAGCCAGATGGGAAAATAAAGGTCAGTCTTTTTGATGTGTTTTTTGTTTGACATTGACATCTATCACTCAGTTTTTCTGTAAAATATCATCTGTTTGCTCCAGTCTTCAGCAAACCCAATTGCAAAGCTGGGTGCAATCCAACACCTATTTCTTTCACAGTACTGGTTTCCAAAAACTGTTATTCAGAGTTTTCAGTTGCCAGCACGTGACAAAAAAGGAAAAAAAAGATCTTTTTGATACATGTACCCAAATCCTGGTACAATAGTCAAGAGTTCAGTGTTAGTAAAGAGGAGAACAGATGATGAGAGTGAAGAAAAAAATCTTGTTTGATGTTTTTTTATCCACTGTTTTTGATACTTGAAACCTTTTCCTTTAAATAGTCAGACCCCAAAATGAGTATTTTGATAATGCTGAACTCTAACTCTCTCCTTTCTTTACAGTTTTATAACTGTATAATGTATATATAATATATAATAATTATAATTATATTTATGTTTTATTTTTAATAGGTTTATGTTTTATTTTTAATAGTTTTATGTTTTATTTTTAATAGCTTTATAGTTTTTATTTACAGTTTTATAAATCTACTAATAAACTGGAATTAAAAAAGACTGGAAGTACAGAGAAGTAGAGGATATATACTCCTGGAAAAGAAGTGTTTAATTGGATTATATGTATATGTTTATTAATACACTTAAAAATTATCTGAAATCTTGTATTTCTGACAATATTTATGTACTGGGGATCGATGGGTGTTGTGTAAAATAGGATCAGCTTATTGCAAAATCCGTGGCGCTGCTCCATAATCATTTGAAGAATTGGAGTGATAAAATTTCTTAGGAATTCCGAGGATAAAGAAGTTACTTCAGTGCACAAATGGGCTAAAAGCAGTTAATGGGTTGCTAAGCAATCCTGGCTGCTTGTTAGTTGGCAGTTTAGGAGAGTGGAGTATAAAATGTGATCATTAGGTTAAGATGATAAAAAAAAAAGTCCCCTAATTGATCTCTTGCCAGCTCCGAGATCTTCCCCGTGGCACATGTCCAACAGGGAATGAATAGTCAGAGCACACTCCTCTGATGAAACACCTTCAATAACGACAGCAAACCAAAAATGTTGAGTAATTATTTATGTAGTAACTCTGTTCAGTTCAGATGGATTAAGCAGGAGAAAATTAATAGACCTGTAGAAATGGATCTTCAGGGAACACAACTGAAAATTCCAGAAGTTTGTGTTCAGTACCTGTTTCAGCAGAAGGGGAGAAGTCTCCTGTATTGCATTAAATTATTGGAGAGATCAGTTAGTCAGAGCAAATAATTGTTTTTCAATATAGAATATTGTCGTTGTCTAAGTAGTTTTCCAGGCTAAATGCAAATATTGTCAGCGTATATTACAAACTGTTCATGTGGATGGAAATGCTCTGTCCACATTTGCAGGGATTTATTGCTGTCTTGCAACAGAATGAGGTTGGGAAGGTGGAGGAACACAGCAGGGGCTGCAGAAAATCAGAGCTGGACCAGGAGCTGGGAATGTGGGGAAAGAAGCAGAGAAGCAGAATGTGGGCAGAGAAGCAGAATGGACAGCTGGGGTCCATCCAGGTTGTTCAAGTAGAGTTGACTCCACAGCTTGTTTCCTCTACAGCTCAAGTCAAAACATTCCTCACCTGCCTTCCCACGGTTCTGCCAAAGATTTATTAAAAGAAACAAAGGATTTGGGTAACTCCTAACAAAATTGGTGTTCCCATCCTCTTGTAGACCTCTTAGTCCACATATAATGACTTAGATGAAGCTGGAAGTTACATCATGTAAGAAGTTGTTATATCATGTTAATTGAAAAAATATCGTGTAAGATGCAAAACTGAAGTGTTCAGGGCACTGAAATTCACTTTATTTTTGGGTAATAGTGTATTATTTTACTCACTTTCAGTTTCCACCCAAGGACTGGCTACAGTGAGACCTAAAAACATGGCTTGTTTATAGTAAATATGGAAAGAAGGTTTCTCTTTCCAAAGCAGGATTCAAGTTCTGCTAAAGTTACAGCTAAACACTCTAAAGAAAATACCATTTCCCAAACATTTCCCAGGATTTTCCTAAAGTGCGTGAAAACACCAACTGAAAAAATGCATATATAGATCTAGATAAGATATGTAAATAGGTATATGTGTAGTTGGGGGTGAGATATCCAGGATGTGTGTCAAGGAGTTGTTTTGTGACATTAATGGTCTCAAATTGTGGTCTTTAGATGTGCAGAATGACAAGAAAATCCAACAGAATAAAAAGGGAAGTTCGTTTACAGCATCAATATTTAGTTGCAAATGCATGGGGTTGTTTTCCAGGTATATGTTTAATGACATGAGCTTAGAAGTAGATTTTCATGGAGATCCTTAAAGGAAAGTACTAGAAATATTTGGGGAATGGGGAAATCCTCTGTGTGTGGAAAAGAAAGGATGAAAACCAGGAGCAGTAGAAAAAAATATGAGAAATTCAGGTCCTGGAGGACAAATAACATTTTTCCGCCTAATGGAGGAGAAGCCACTGAAAGTTTGAAGGAAAATAATCTTCTTTCAGTATAGTGGAAAGTTCAAAAGTATGAAGAGTAAAATTAGAGTTTTCAGTGCCAAATCAATACAGCCACCTTAGAGTTAAATGGTGTCAGTGAGAGGACATTTTAGAGAACAAAAAAATCACACTTTTAATAAGGTATTGATGTGAATTTTGCAATAAAAATATTTGCATAAGCAAGGCCTCCACTTACTTCAGAAATCACCCCAGTAAAATAAAGAAAAACTTTCTTCTTTTCCTCAGTAAAATTCCCTGATTTATAGAAAATAATTTCAATTTCTTATCTTGTAGAGATCACAGTGGGTATGAAAATGACTGAATTGCCCTGAAATACACTGTGGGTGGATTTCTGCCCAAAAACCTATGTATCATTCAGGCCTCAATAAACTTTATTGTCCCTCAGGCTATTTCCAGCATGTACCTGGGAGGATTTATCTGCTAAGAAAAGGGAACTTTCTCCTCTGCAAACAGGAATAATAAATGTTTGGTACTTTCTCGTGCGTGATTTTATTTACTCAGCGACTAATGGCTGCTCATTTATTATAGTTACCTGGAGTCTGAAAGTTTTTGAGAGAGACATAGTTAATTCTGGGCTTTCATTTGTGCATTTTATTAACAAGAAGCTTTTATTTTACTGAAGGAAGGTCAATAAAGCCTAGCTTGATATATTTGCTTAGTGCACTTCTCAAAACTTTTAATGTACAAGGTGAAAATGCAGAGCTTACAGCTGAGAAAATTGTATTTGCTAAGCTATTAATATTTTGCTATGAAATCTGAAGTAAAAATTGTTTTCTGGTAAAAATAGGGGGTTGTTCAAGTATTTTGAGGGCATTTTAAAATGAGCCCAATATGACTCCACAGGGCAGCTTCCCACTGCCATGGGGCTGGTTCATTTGTTCTACTTTCCTATAGAATTCCTCATTAGATGAGCTGTGGTTAATTATAGAAGCTGTGGAGAGCAGGCAGAGAGATGCATGTGCAGCGTTATCACAGTATCAGCACCCTAAGGACTGGCTCAGGCTGGAGTTTTGGGTTAGATTGGCCTTAAGCTGAAGGAGAGGAGATTCAGATTGGGAAGAAATTGTTCCCTGTGAGGGTGGTGAGGCCCTGGCCCCGGTTGCCCAGAGAAGCTGTGGCTGCCCCTGGATCCCTGGAAGTGTCCAAGGCCAGGTTGGACAGGGCTTGGAGCAACCTGGGCTAGTGGAAGGTGTCCCTGCCCATGGCAGGGGGTAGAACGGGATGAGCTTTAAGGTCCCTCCCAACCCAAACCACTCTGTTTCTAGGATTCAGTTGCTGAAGGAGTTAACTCAGTGTTGGATTTTACAGATCTGGAACTGAATGGAATGTCCAGCTCCGACATCCCCGACGTTCCTCCCCCTCTGCCCCTCAAAGGAAGCACAGCCGACTATGGGAACCTCATGGAAAGCCAGGACTTGATCAGCCCGACGACCTCCCCCCCTGCCCACCAGCGGGTGAGTCCTCAGGGAATCATCACTTCCTGCAATTTTCTTTCCTTTGTCCCTTGAGCAATCCCAGGTGAGACAGGATCCTGCTCCTGGATGTGTCAGCACATCCAGAGAGTTCTGCAGTTGCAGTGTCTGGAGTGTGAGGGAGCAGCATCGACCTGAGGGGGAGATTGGGTTCATTCTGGTGAAATCTAAGCCAAATGCTTTTAGGTGTGTTGGTAAGGGAGCTTTAACCAACAGGATACATTCTCTGCAGCAAATTAGATTCAATAGCCTTTCAGTGCTGTCTCAGGAAAGGAAATAAAACATGTTCCTGCCATCTCTCCTTTCTGGAGCTCCGTTCTGTCGATGTTCAATCGCTGCTTGTTTCCCTGAGGCAAACACACACCTCCCCTTTGAGGGAAGGAGCTCAGAAACTCCTCATCATCAACAGCCTTTTGAGCTTTCTGAAGAAAATACACTTTTTCAACTTTGTTTCCTGTAGCCTTGAAGCTTTTAAAAATAATTTGGTCTTTTTCTTTAAAGCAGCACTTTTGAAAAGGGCCATTTATTTTCTTTATGAAGAGAGAAAACAGGTTTAAAGAGGTGTGGTGGGTTGACCCTGGCTGGTACCCACCAAAAATGCTCCATCACTCCTCTCCTCAGCTGGACGGGGGAGAAAAAATATAATGTAAGGCTCATGGATTGAGACAAGGGCAGGGAGAGATCACTCACCAATTACCATCATGGGCAAAACAGGCTCATCTGGGGGAAATTAATTTAATTTATTGCCAATCAAATCAGAGCAGGGCAATGAGACCCCAAAAGGTCACAAGTCCTACCATTGAACATGGGGAAACTGCTGGCATCCTCTCACAGAAACTACCACAACCTTCTCACACAAACCCAAACCAGAGGGTTTTCTATCCTTTGACTTGGAAATCTCTAACTTTGACCAAGTTGTTATTTTGTGGAAACTGATCCTTCTTTGTTTGCAGAGGTGTCTTCCAAGAGTTCTCTGAAGTTCGTCATTGCAATGAGATTCTGTTCAGTAATTTGCTTTTCATGACTAGAGAAAGCATTTCTGGTCTCAGCAGAGAGTGTCAGGCAGGAATTTGGTTTAACTCTGGGAATAATTGTGTTTAACACAGACTATCCCAGTGCACAACAGTACACAAGTCCAGCTTTTTCCATGGTTGAAATTATAACTATTTCTAATAGTATAAGTAATTCCTATTGTAGCAGGAATTCAGTATGTATAGGCTAAATAGGAAAAAGCAGATGTAGAAGTACCTTCAGGAATGTCAGTAGTGTTATTCAAAACACCATGTTTTACTCTTTATGTGCATTTACTGAAAAATTCTCTATTCCCATCCTCTCTTCCATAGTTGTTCCCCATGGCTGGGTGGTTTTAGTAAATATTTTCACTTTTCCTCTCGTTTCCATCAAAGTAGACTAAACTTTTAACCCATTTCCCTGGTGTCTCTCTCAGGGACCAGCTCTCGTTTGTCCTGAATTCAGACCTCTAAGTGGAAAATTACAGCATGTACAGCAGGGCTGCCAGGAGGGTTGTCTGAGGAATGCATCTTCAGGAAGAAAGCTGAGAAATTCAAATTAGGATTCAAATTTCTTCAACTCCTTCCTGCATGAGCTCCAGAGTAGTAAATTCATTTTCTATTATATAGTATAATGTTTAGGTCGTGGTGGTAGCTCAGGATTGCTTATGTAAGTTCAAATTTTAGCTAAAGAACATTAAGCAATGGTGAGAAATAAAATCCCAGTCGTCAGGGTTTCTTTCCCTTCCCTCTGAGGCTGTTTGAAGGGGTTTCCACTCCATGGAGAGATGTTGGGTAGTTATTGTACAACTTCCAAATGCCATTTTGCTGTGATGGTTGGAGACAACTCAAGTCCCAGCCTCAGACTCGTGGAAGATGTGACCTTGGGCAGCTCCTGGACCTGCCATGAGCAGAGTTTCCGCATCATTAAATGGAAGTTCATAAAAATAGTGCCAATATGCTCCCTTGTTGTTTTTTTTTTTTTGCAAAGTTTTAGTCAGGTCTTAATATTTTTGCTCTTTACAGCCTTAATTTTTTCAGACTCCTGTCATTTTTTTTAATGTATCTTGTCTTTGTAGACACAGACCCTGTTTTTTAACATGCAGTGTTGAAGGGCCTTAGAATTTAAGCACAGCTAAGAAATGCAATCAAATATAGGCTACATCTCCTTGGCTAACTGTCCAAAATTTACATCTTCTTATCTAACTGTCTGAAATTTTCTTCAGCATCTGTATTTTTATAAACTTTCCAAGATGAAGGAATTTAGTTTCAAAGTCTGGAAGAAGGACCTAAAGCAGATTTGTCGCAAAACCACATGTATTAGTTTTAGAATTCATTTCAGAAAAGGTTTCTAATCTTATAACAATCACTCTGTGCCTTTATTTCATCAACCTTGTAGGAAGGAAGCTGTTAAAGAACATAAAGAAAATGAGTAGTGCTGGACATGAAAGATCAGATGAGTAAATTCTTATTGCTGCTGTGATTAAATCCCACTCCACGGTTTTAATGCCTTATGTTTCATGGGTCAAATAGCTCCATAATTCATAACTTGATCATTCTCTGCCTAGTAAACTGATCATCCTTTAAGTTACACCAGCTTTGTATCAGTGAAGAAAAATCAGTAAAACATATTAGAGATAAGATTATCTTGGTAGCTTTTAAACTGGAAATATCTCCTTGTGTGAGGAATTATTAGATTTTTCACTCTGGTTGTCTTGCAGTGGGTTATGAAAGCCAAGTGCTGTAGTGAACTGAAAGCAGGCAGCCAGAAATGCAGCAGATGCTTCAAGTCAAACTGCAGGCAATAATGTCATTTAGTGTCTGAGGCAGCAATCTTAGATTATTTGGAGTCCACTGTTACCTTGGTGTACCTTAAGTCTTTTTTCCAAATGATCATCTCCTTATAATTTCCTGATTGTCCCTTTACTCACCGTTAACTGTGAGACCCTTACAAATATATTTTCTTCCACCGTGTGATTTGTTCTGCTAAAAATGTTCTTAATAATATATGAGAATATAAAAAAAAGAAGCCTATGACTCCTGCAAGGATTATTATTACATCAGGGGATTCCTTAAGGCACTTATCCTGCTTTATGGGTTCCTCCTCACCCTTGCATACAAATCAACTGCTTGCTTTGTATTCACGGCCGGAGGGGAGCTCAGAGAAAATAGACAAAGGAGCACTTGGGTTTATGATATTGGCTATAACACTTACTAAGGATCAGGTAATGGTTGGGATGAGAACACCTCCATCAATCCAGGCAGAACTTGGAAAGGAGGAACGGCCGGAGCGGCGCGTGGGACGAGGAGCAGAACGGTCTCATGCAGTGCCTGGTTTGACTCTCTGGGATGCTGTTGTATGAGGGTTATTCAGGCTGGTTATTCAGATATAATGGAATAATATATCCTAATATAATACACAGAAGGAAGAATCCAGGGGGATTTTCCCTGTGTTGCAGTGCATGTGCTGCAGAGCTGAAAATTATCTCCTGTATCAGCTGCTGTGAGCAAAAAGTGACCTTGAAGGCTCCAGCAAGGTGTCGTCCTCATGACAGAGACAAAAAAGCTGGAAACCAGCTGAAACGATGGAGGCAGCAGGTAATTAGGGAGCACTGTGTCAGGATTTGCAATAGCAGCCTCCAGTGGAGAGGCAGCAGCATCTCTGCTCTCTGTGACCAGTGACAGGACCCAAAGGAGCAGCTGGAGCTGAGTCAGGGGAGGTGTAGGTTGGATATTGGGAACAAGTTCTTCCCCCAGAGGGTGGTCGGGCACTGTCCCTCCAGGCCCTTGTCCCAAGTCCCTCTCCAGCTCTCTTGGAGCCCCTTTAGGCACTGGAAGGGGCTCTCAGGTCTCCCTGGAGCCTTCTCTTCTCCAGGTGAACCCCCCCAGCTCTCCCAGCCTGGCTCCAGAGCAGAGGGGCTGCTGTGATCTGATCTGAGACACCGACTCGAAGCAATTCCATGTTGCCCATTTTGGGGGATCATTCACATTGCCCAGGGTGGCACACAGCAGGTGGAAGAACACCAAGTGCATCTCCACGGAAGGATCCTTAAAATTCCTTTTTTTTACCTAAGCACACTCCAGGAAGGGCTGTGACACAGTGACATGAGACTCTAATAGATGATGTACAACAACAGGCTTCAAACAGTCCTTTTACACCAGTTACCTGCCAGCTTTTCCACATAACTTTGCTCCCTGGGTCAAACAGCCAATTAGCTTAAACTGTCTGTAATTTGGTTCACATTAGTGGAGTTGGGCTGCTCTCTCTGCTGGTGCATTATTGCCCTTTCACAATAGGAGTGTTATTCTGCCAGGACCTCACACTATAATGTTATTTTTCATTGCAGATATTATTTTTCATTGCTGCTTGTCAGGCTGCTCAGCTCTGTGCTGAAGGAGCAACTCAGGATCTGAAAGCATTTACAGTCCTGGGTAGCTGATAGTTTATTTACATCCCATTTCTCCTGCTTCTGACCTAATTAGATCCATTAATCCTTCCAATTTAGAGTGCTTCTCATTGGATCTCCAGAGCTTGTTATATTGATGACCATGGAATTTCAAAGAAAAATAGTTGCACAGGAAGAAATTTCGTGCAGTGCCACAAGGACCAGTTTTAGGAATCAAATTTGTTTGATTTTTTTGTGTTTCCTGAATGAAAAACAATTTTGCTTCTTCAGAGGAGAAAAAAAATGCATTTTCTCATCTTCTGTAATTGATTTTTACTACATCCTGAACGTGCCCAGTTGCAGTGCAGTTCATATCTGGGAGAGAACAGAGACAAATGTTTTTGGGCCTGATTCTTTTCTGTCTGAGGGAGAAAAAAAAAGAAAAAAGCAAACAAATGGGAGCAATTTCATGTCTGAAGCAGAAGGAACAGATTGTTTCTGTGTTGCAGATGTGCCTTTTACATAAGGTTTCTGCTTCCCCTGAGGTCCCCGCGAGTCAAGGATTCTGCCCAAAATAGGTTGGGATGTGAACCAGCCTCTGTCAATTTGTCAGAAAGGAAAAAGATGCTTTGAGATTCACAATTAACCACTGAGATATAAACACGAACTTGGCAAAGCAGCTCTTAATTAAATGTAAAATCAAGGTAAACTCTATTTTTATTTCAAAGTTTCTAAGGGGAAGCGCAGCAAAAATGAACTTTATAAACCTGGTAATGATTTTCTGAGTGTGGTATTAAAGGGAGAGAGGAAGTATGCTGGAATTTCATCCTGTCCTGGAATAAAAGGGAGGATGTATCAGCTCTGGGAGCACTGGCTGGATTTGGAGTTCCATAGTGGCATGTTTTGTGGTGCTAATTCCTCAATAATGTCACCCCAACCAGCCTCACACATCCTACTTAATATATTCATTGGTAGCTTATTATATAAATGAACATGTGCTAAATTTATCCGACTTTCTAATGGAAATTGTAAATTCAATTATAATAATTATCTACCTATCTCTGTTATTTCTTTCTGCCTAATTTGCTTGCAGAATCTGAGCTCTGGTAGGTTTTGAGCTTGTTATTTATAGCATATATATTTAGCTTATTCTCATTGTATCTCTTCTTCAGAAGCAGGTTTTCAGGGCTGATTTGATTGTTCTCTGATCAATATGAAGGGCTCATTTGGTTGAGAAATGCCTTTGATCTAATTGAATTGAGAATTATTGCCAACGTAGTGTTATTTAAATTCAAAATGGATTTTCACAAATGATGCTATCAGCAGAGTTAGGGCTTTTTTTCTGGTGATAAATATGAAGTTAAAGAGCTCATGTGAGAGCAGAGCAGAGGAAAGTTTTATATTTTGGAATGTATTTCAGAGGGATACCTGGTTTACTGAGCTGTGGAATGAATGTCATCTTCATGAGGAGCTGTTGCACGTTGTACACTGATGTTCTGCAGACCACCAGCGATTCCCAAAGTTTGCCCAGAGCCCTTGCCTGGATACAGGACTGTAATTAAGCAAGTTCTCAAAGATTTTGAAACCTTCAGATCACAATTGACAGTCCAACTCTTATTCAGATGCCTCAGTAGGGATTCAGGAGTTTACATGCCAAGTATTTGCTCAGGTAGAGGGAACATTTAATGGTTCTGACTGTAACATTTCAGAGGCAGATCAGCAGTGGCATTTTAACTAAAAGCCAAACAAGTCTTCAGTTTTGCGTTTAGTAAAATTAAATTCTTACATTATCTGCTTTTCATATTTATCTGTCCACCTGGTTTTCCAACTCAGAAGTCATCGTGTCCCACTGGAAGTCAGGAATAAGTAGTGCCCTCTTTGGAGCCTGCTCTGGAAAATCATAGAGTCATTTAGGTTGGAAAAGACCTCTGAGATCATCAAGCCCAGCCATTCCCCCATCGCTCCCAAGGCCAGCACTAACCCATGTCCCCAGGTGCCAGGTGTTGGTGCCTCCTCCCCAGGCAGGCAGGGGAACAAGTCATTCCAGACAAGGCATCCCGGCTCCCGTGCCTTGCTCTTGGTGCAGAGTTTCTCATTCAGCAGCAGATTAAACCCAATTATTTCCAAGCTGCCAGGTCAGGAAGCATTTTGGAGCCAAGGAGGGAGGTGAGAGCAGGCACATCCAGGCAGTGGTGCTGCTGGAGAGGCTGGGAAACTGAGAGTGGATGGAGCAGAATGGAGAGACGGGCTCAGGGCTTGGCTTACCTGGGTAGTTTGGCATCACTCTTCATTTGCCATAGAGGAGGAGTGAGAAAACTTGTAAAACAGATGGGAAAGTAGTTCTGTCCAGGTAGGATACAGGAAAAGTGTTCCAGCAAAAACCCAGCCTTCCTGACTCAGCCAGTTTGCAGCCTTACCTTTCTCTTTAGTCTGTGCTTAGTAAAACTATCTGGATTTGTAACTTCATGTTGTCTAAAACCTGCTTGAAAGAGGGTGTTTAGTTACCTTAGAGATGCTTTTCCTCCTACTCTTACACATCTCTGAAAACTCCCAGGAAAACTCCCAGTCACAAGGTTGCAGGAGCATTAGGAGGAGAGGCTGAGATGTCCTGGCATCACCCTGAACTGCTCATCCTTTTGGGACAGCATCTTTGGACAGCTTTTAAAAGGAACAGTCTTGTTTCTTACGCTCTTCCACGTGGTTTATCAGTTGTTTGTATACCAGTATCTTCCTGATATTGAGAAATCATGAGTTTTTTTGTCCAAGCAGTGCCTGCAGTGGAGTACTGCAGGTGTTTGGACTGTTCTTGTAGCAGTGACCAAAGAATTTTGGCAGAGTTGGTGCTTGTTGGGCTGTGAGAATGTGTGGAGCCAGCAGTTAGTGCTGGGTGGGTGAGGCAGGACAAAACACAAACAAGTGGGAATGGAAAAGCATCATTAGGTTTGGAGGAAAACAAAAGGCAATGGCTGAGGAGAAGGAGAATCTTAGGGAAAAACAACCCCAAAGCAGCATTTCTGAGCTGTGATGCTGCAGCACAGCCTGAGTGCAGTGAGAGGAAATCTGCACTGCCTGCACAGCCAAAATCTGTAAAAACCTGCCTGCAAAGCCTGGGAGCAAATTGCAGTGTTCTCCAGCTCCTTCTGAAACAGGTTTTATCGTATGTATGATTTAACATTATAAAAAAAATCTTAATTTCCATAATGACTTTTTTAATTTGTCCAATTAGCTGATGATTCTAACTGGGAGTGCTCTTCTGTTGTATGATACATGAAGCGATTTAAAATATATGTATGTGAACAGTCTGCATTTCTATTTTGAATATTTTAATTATAACCCTGTGTGTGATGGTAAATTGCAACTTACTTATCTCTTTAAATGGTTTTAAATTGTTTCCCTTTTCTGTTTTTTTTTAAATGATTTCTGTTCTTACTGTGCAAAATCCAAAACATAACAGAAAAGCAATGAAACTGTTGCTTCAGCTTAGTTTTTAAGCTCTGAGTGCCTGGGGGCTGAGGCAATCGATACACACCAAGGAATCAATATCCTATCATGATATAAAGTGGGGAATTATAAACTTCTCTAGTGCTTTTGAAAGATTTTTCCTGAAATATTGAGCTAATTAATCCTGAACCCTTGAGAGATTTTTTTTCGTTGTCAAAAATAAAAGTTATATTTAAAACTAATGGCTGAGGGCGTTGGGAATCCACAACAGCAAGTTCCACGGAGAGGTTTTTGTGAGTCAGAGGCTGCAGACTCACCTGTTTTCTTCCACAGTTATATATGAAACAGAAAATGTTTCCAAACTCCATCCTTTGCTAACATGATCCATCCAATTTGGTTTCTTCCAGCACCTGCCTCCTCCTCTCCCCAGCAAGACTCCCCCGCCTCCACCTCCAAAGACAACTCGGAAGCAAACGTCAGTTGACTCTGGGATTGTCCAATGAAGAAGGAAGCAGGTTCTTTTTTCCAAAGATAAAGCTGTAACAATTCATTTCCCTAAGTATTTTATGGTATATAATGTTTACCTCATTCAGGTGTGCAGTATCTAACATTTAGTGCAATGACTCTAACTCCATAAGAAATCCATTTCTAGCCATGGAACCAACACTACATCCCCCCCCTTCTGGGGGTTATTCCCTCCCATAACTTGAAAGAAATCTGGATTTCTACTTGAGACCTGGAATTGTCCATCAACTGACAGTACCCTCTTCCTAAACCTTCTCCCTGCTTCTGAGTAATGCCAGGCACAGAGCTGGCTGTGGAGATTCAAATGAGAGCTGAATATTTTGTATCTAAAGTGTTCAGGTAGCTGTGGAGTTTAAACTGAGCTGAGTTTTTGTACCTAATCTTGGTGTATATAGGAATTGATGACAATATTCACATGGAATTCAGTGCACATTGGAGGAGCTTCGCAGGGAGGTGAAGCTTCTGTAGGATTTCCCCAGATAACAGGGCTAAAAATCAGATACAATTTATTTGTGAAATGTGCCTTCTCTTTAATTGGTCTGTGTTACAAATAATCCGATTTGACCGCCCTGGCCACAGGGATCAAGTGTAAAATCTCTGGTGACAGGGGGAAAAGTGGCAGCAAAACCTCAGCCCTGGACATGAGGAGAGCAGACTTCAGGTGCTCAGGGAATGAGGGAGTAAAGTCCTCTGGAAAAACGCTTTTGCAGGTGCTGGGGTCCATCAGTGCTGCTCACTTTTCAAACGTCACCTCCTGAGGGCACAGGGGCAGCAGTTCCCAAATATTGGAAGTCAAACAGGTGAAGCTGAAGGCCGGCTTGGCTGAGCAGGGATCTTCTCTTGGCTATAAAGTGGAAAAGGAAGGTGTGTGCCCAGTGGAAGCAAGGTCAGGTGACATGGGAAGAACACAGAGATGCTGCTTGTCACTGCAGGGAGAAAATGGCCAAAGCTCAGTTGGAGTTGGAGCTGCCAGAAATGGGGGGAACAATAAAAAGGGGTTTTTTAATACATTCATGGCAATTGGCAGTATAGAAATATCATTGGCCCATTCCAGGAGGGGGATGGTCACCTCCCAAACAGGGACACAGACAAGGCAGAGGTGTTTAACACTTTCTTTGCCTGACAGGAGGTCATGATGACGGGGAAGGGCCTTAGGGGAAGCCATACAAGGGGTGACTGAGGGCATGTAGTGGTTTGAAGCACTTGATCTGTTCAGCTGGAGGAGACTGAGGGGAGACCTCACTGGGACAGTGGGGAGGCAGGCACTGATCTCTTCACTCTTGTGACCACTGACAGGACACCAGGGAATGGCTGGAACTCTGTCAGAGGAGGATTAGGTTGGATCTCAGGAAAAGGTTCTTCCCCCAGAGGGTGGTTGGGCACTGAACAGGCTCCCCAGGGCAGTGGGCACAGCACCAAGGCTGGCAGAGCCCAAGGAGCATTTGGACAATGCTCTCAGGGACAGGGTGGGATTGTTGGGGTGTCCTGGGCAGGGCCAGGAGCTGGATTCCTAGTGGATCCCTTCCAACTCAGTGTATTCTGTGATTCCATGATTAATGGGCTTTATAAAATTAGTCATTGTTGCTCAGCCATTGCCATTTTCGTTCAGTTGGATCTTCTGAGTGTCCATCACAGGGCACATCAAGGAAGCCTCGGAGCTGCCGACGGGCACGGGCGTGTGGGAAAGGAACGAGTAGGCAGGTGGGAGACTCCTGGTCATTCTGAACCCAAAAGCTGAGTACAGGAATGGGAAGAGCTTTTTCCTTTCTTTAATGTGTAATATTTCATGTTGGATTAGGATGAACTGAATGGAATCACTTTGTCCTTGTGCCATCATTCTGTACAGTGTTTGTATATATGATGGTTTTTAGAATGTTTTCATTTTTATGGTGCCTGCTTTTCATGTAATAATGGATTAATGTGCCTGCAAAGAATGCCTTATGTATTTTTAATTTCTTAAGTACTGAAAGTGTAAAGAAAAAGAAAAAAGCATTTTTTTTCAGATATTAAACTCTGAGAAATATCAGACAATGGTGGGATGGGGTTTTGGGAGGGAGGAAGGAAACTAACTTTATACTCTAGTGTTTTTTATTGTCATCACACTTTTGTTTTTTACTATCTACAATCTTTTTACTCTTACAGTAGATTGTTTTTAAATATACCACTGACTCAAAAATAAAATATTATTTTAAAAACTTGTCTAAGAAAATGAATACATTTCCTGGGTATTTTTGATCCTTACTGCAGAATTTCAGGAGCTGTTGCACTCTGTAGAGAGCTATATATACTTAACCTCTTTTCACTGTAATTTTGGGGGGAACTCATGATAAAGCTGATAACTTTCATTGTGTTAATGTGATTATTCCTGCAGGAAGGAGCTAAAATACACATCAGCACTAAAAACACCCATCTCTGTGTGCTGTCTGTACCCATAAAGTGGCTTATATATCTTTAAGTTATCTTTTGCTGAACTCTTCAGAAAACAGATGAGTTTTAGGTAATATTTTCCACCTCAAGTACCTGCTACATGATGCAAGGTGCAAGCAGAAGTGACTTTATACAGCAGTAAAACAATACTGTTGTTACAAGGGCAGAAAAATTGCCTTTCTCATAAAAAGTGGCTGGAATGGTCAATTAGATATTCTCATATTTTTGCCTTAAACCACTGTGTCACTTTGGATCAAACAAACACACTTTTCCTTGCTATAAAATCAGCTACTAGAGCATCTCAGAATTTACTGTTGGATACCATCCTCCAATTCCCTCTTTGTTTTGTTAATATAATCTCTGTTCAAGAGGAGCACTCAGGAAAGGATTCTTGGCTGCAGTCAATCAGGTACTCATTCTGTAGACAATCAATAATGTATTACAACTTTAATTCTATAAGTCTCTTATTTAATTGAGGATTGCTTTAGAGACTGCCTCTGGTGCTGCCTGGGAGATGTGCTGGGATGCTGGTGAGTTTTGCTCTTTTCTGTTCCCTTTGCCTTCTAAAGGCTGGGAAGAGCTTTCCCATCGACCTTTAACTGGATGCCTGTAAATTGCATTTCTGATAATGTGTTTGTTTTTGCTCATCCTTTGCAAATTCCTGTGCTCATGCAAGTGGTATAATTTGGCCCTGTGAGACTCCTCGAACAAGAGCTGCACTTTCAAATGGGTCTTAACAGTACAGACTCGAAACCTCATCTGTGTGTGTTTTACAAATGCACAACCTGAGCCTGGGAATTGAAAATCAGACTCTCAGATTCACTCAGACCCAAATTGTCAATCTAACATCTTCTAGGCTGTAACTCATTGCCCTCCTCAAGGTGTGGTAAAAACACACCTCAGCAAATTCAGGAAGCCATTCGGTTCCAGGCTCTAAGCAGCGAACAGTCCTGGGAAGGCTGTTATTCCTCACGGTTTGCTCTCTTCCTTTGTATTCCAGAGTTGGGTGTCAGAGCATCCCATTGCCATGGGAATTCCTTGTCACATTGTTTGCAGTTCAGCTGAGCTAATGCAGAAGAGCTTGATGTGAAACAAGACAGAACAAGGTTATTTGATTTTAACCAACGTGGTGGGATCTCATGTGTCTTTTGTCTGCCCTGTTTCTGTGGGAATTCATCCCTTGATGGCTTCAGTGAGTCTTTTGCTTTCCCTGCCTCAATGCCTCGAGTGGACATGGTGGGATTGGGATGACCTGGTGTATTTATCAATGACCTGGTGTATTTATCACTGCTTTGTCCTCCTGCTAGCTCTCCTGGTGCCTCCCCATCCACAGGTCCCCATTCAGATTTCATTCAAATCAGTATTTCTGCTTGGAAAGGTGACCCCCTCCATCTCCTCCATGGCAAAGCTTTTCCAGGGCTTTAGCAGGATCCAGGTTTTCACCATTTGAATGGTGAGGGACCAGGTTTCACCATATAAATCAGGAATTAACCTCCCCTCAAGTGCTGTCCCTTTGCTCAGACTTGAGAGCAGCACCCCAAGGCTTTCCAACTCAAATTAACCTGAAAGAAGAAATTCAGAAGTGTCAAGTTTCTACATAATATGAGAAAACAGATTCCAATGGTCAGGAATTTTCACTTCTTGAAAAGTAGCTTGAATTTAGTTAGTGAGAGTTAACTCACAGTGCCAATATAAAAAAGAGGAACCCTCAATACCGTTTTCCTGAGTGGTGGTGTGGGAGTGGGAGGGTAAATTTTTACAGGTGCACAGATCAGTTCCCATCAGTCCCACACAAAACCACAAAAGATTTGTTTGTTTTTTAATCAAATTTCTGCTCAACGGGAAGCTCAGCACAAAGGTCACTTCTTAAGCAGGTTTCCATAAGTGACATTTATGATTACTGAAATGTCTCTGGTGGTATCACAAATTCTGAGGCTAAAAATGTTTTTAAATTCAGTTTTGTCTTAACAAAGGCATTTTTCTTTACCTTGGATGTTTGTTGTATGTGACTTTACAGAGGAAAATGATAAAACATTTGCAGTGCCTATGGTTATGCTTATGGTATGTGAATGAGAGATTCATGGGAGTGCATATATATGTGTGTATTCATGCACACACATCAAAACACACATTTTTAATGTAAAATATCTAATTTTATTGTCTATTTGAGGTGTCCACCTTCTAGCTTCACATTAGACATCTTCCCTATTGATTCATGTGGCCTTTTTGGGAATCATTCTATGCCAGAAGCTTCATGTCATGTTGTTGATGCCAGTGGACCCATGATGGATGTTCATAATTACCCAATTTTGCTAAAGGTTATTTGTCTAAACAAGTCATTTCTTGTGTATGTATTGACAAAATCAGGTGAAATAAGCAGAAAAATTTCTAACAAAGGTTACAGCTGTTTTGATGTTTAAATCTATGTGGACTAGACTATGACAGTACATGGTGCAACAGGAGTCACCCTCTTCTGATCTGGGAATTACCATCCTGGATTGGGCTGTGGAATACTTTTTTATGCTTTTGGAACAAAACAGCAAGTGCTGGCACAGCTGCCCAGGGCAGGGATGGAGTCCCCATCCTGGAGGGATGGGGAAGGGATGTGTGGACGTGGCACTTGGGGAGGGGGTTTAATGGTGGCCTTGGCAGTGTGGGTTAATCGTTGGGCTCAGTGATCTTGGAGGGCTCTTCCCATCTGAACCATTCTGGAACTCTAAACCTGAAGTGTTTTATTCCCAAGCTGAAGGCAAATGAAAGGATGGCAGAAATGTATTTAAATTCAGTGCGAGACAGGGTGCAAACATGGACAAGAGATTCCCAGGCTGGAGCAGGTCTCCCAGGAGGATGGATGGTGAACCTTCCTGCCCCTCAGCATCGAGCTGTGGCTCCTGCATCCCTCTGCACACACCAGGTAAGGCAGTTTTCAATCTGCATCTCCACTCGGCCTTCTGACAAAGCAATAAATTAAAGAAAATGCCCATGAAAAACAGACCAGGCACTTGAGTGATGGTGAGCACTGAAATTCAGGGTTTTCCTCTATTTCCTCAGTTTTTAGTGGTAATGGGAAGCGTGAGGTCCAGCTGCGCTGACATTTCAATTTCCTCTTGTTCTCCTTTTGTACTTTTCATGGATCTAAACTGAATTTCAGGCTTGCAATTGCCACCTTCTCTGGGATACAGAAATGTGTGGATCAGTCTAAATACTTGGTTATTGTATAGGATCTATCCAGCTGTTCTCCAGTGAGGCTATTTATAGGATTTTTAATTTCCCTCGGGGGTTTTTTTATGTGTATTCTGCAGACATGAATAATTACTGTAAATTGTGTTTCTCTATCAAATGACAGACTTAATTTTTTTTCATTTCAAGTGTGTGTGGCATTGTATTCAAACACTTCAACGAGAAGTTGCTGAATTGAATAACTCATTTATTTAACTGGCTGTGGACTGGTGTACTGGGGACATGTACTGACCCTGCTGAGGCTGGGCTGGAATGGTGACTCCACTCAGTCTCCTGTTGTGTGTAGCCAAGTGGTTTCCATTCCCTCACTCCACCTTTTTGCAGCTACACATGATCTGTGGTTCTCCAAATCCAATCTGACCACCCCTCACTACTACCCAAGCTCCCTGTCAGCCATCCCAAACCTGCTGAGATTTTATGGATGGTGATGTGCTGCTATTTTGGGTTGAATCCACATTGGTTTGGCCATTCTCTCAGCTTTTCATTGCACAGTCTGGCTCTGATGCCGTTGAACTTCTGTGTGTTGCAGCACAAACTCTTGCACAGCTGGGGAACTAAACAGGAACATGGGCCACAGCAGATTAATGCTACAGATGGAACTGCATGTGCT